TACCAACGTCAGTCGAAAATTTTACTGGCCTAATTACTACGAGGATATACGGTTATACGTTAAAACATGCCACATATGTCAAGCCCATTCTCTTAAAAATGCGCCAGTGGTACCTATGATGTCTATACCTGCACCACTAAACGGACCTATGACCGAAATAATGATGGATTTTTGTGTATTGCCTAACGTACAGTCTTTTGGAAGCTTTAGCTATGTACTTGTATTGATAGATATGTTCACCGGTTGGGTAGAATGTCACCCATGCGTAACAGCACAGGCAGATATAGCCGTCATTGGATTATACGAATGGATCTGCAGATTCGGTATCCCATCAACTGTGTATAGTGATGGAGGCACGCATTTTGTTAATGTCATAGTCGATAGAATGGTGTCTAAATATGGGATCAAGCTAGCGTTAGGTCCATCAAACCATTCTCAGAGACAAGGAAAGGTTGAAAGAGTAATCCAAACCCTTAAATTATTGTTAAAGAAGATCTGTGCACAATATCCCGGAAGTTGGGTTACTTGGTTATCAGCAGCTAGTTATGTCGTCAGGACCAGCGTATATGGAGGACACGGATTCACACCATTTTTCCTTTTGCATGGTCGGCAACCCAGAGGAATTGCGGATTGTCTAGAAATCAAGGACTTAGGTGAAGATGTTCTGTTGATGGAGACCGGAAGTAGAATGAACACAACTAAAATACAGGATCAAACCATGATTAATAATATCGAAGAAGGCGTAGATGAAGAAATCGATTATGAAATGTTAGAGTTGGAAGAAAGATTGGAAGAAATTATTAAATTGAATGATTCAGTGTTATCAGAAGCTGTAAAGCGACAAGTGGTTATCAAAGAAACTCAAGCTAGAAACTATGATGATGCTAAAAGAGTGTCCGTTCGATCATTTAGATTAGGTGACCAAGTAATGGTACTCAATCATACAGTAGGAGATATAAGCAAAGGGAAATTGGGTAGCAAGTGGATTGGACCGTACCGTATTGAAAGAAAATTACCTAATAACGTGTATGTGATTTCGGATGGGCATCTTATGGTTGCAAGCCCCGTCCATGCTAATGACATCAAACTGTTTCTACAAAGACCGAAAGATAACTGGTTATATCGAAAATGGGTTGTAGAAGGTGAACCACAAGAAGTAGCAGAAGCTGAATTAGGTGAAGACCGTACAGGAGGAGTTGAAGAAAACCCTGGTTCAAATTCCTTAATACTGAAGAAGAGGCGTCGTACCTAGCTCTCCTTAAGTAGGATCCTTGTGAAGAATTTGAGCTTAGCTAAAAGATCTTTTGTGTAACTCAATTGAGTTTATTAACGAATTACACAGCAATAATAAAACAATAGTTCTTTCCATTTTATAATTTTTGGTCGTTATTAGCCTTTTCAGAATAAAGCGCAGGATAAGCCAGTTTGACTCAAAAGGGATTAAACTTAGACATATATCAGAAACTTCGACTTCATTGTGACGTAATCCGTTAGAATACACTATAGAAAACGTATCTCTATTCAAGCTACAGCCTGAAACCAGTCTAAATATATCTCTAATCAACATCTTACGATCAGAGACTGTCAATTCCCGGCCAACATTACAATACTCAGTATGGGAGGGCTAAATTTAAAGATATGTTGGTTATTTACTATCACCATGTTATTACATCATGAACCAATAAGGCGCTTAATATTCTCCCCAGAACTATCTAGTTCTTCATATAAATATCCATAGTTTTTTCCCATAGACCATCATACATTTTTGGATTAATTTATTTTTTTCGTCCATAATAAAGTGGTATCCAAGTTCTAACAGTATCACTATTATTTTTTAATTTTGTTCTTTATGCAAAACAACCAGTACTTCTGTTTGTAAGCTATATCATAACAGATCACATTAATGCAGATCCACTTACCCGTCAGTTTATCCCCTTTTAGTTTGTCAAAAAATGGTGTAATCGATTTGAGTGACTGTACCAAAGAATCAAGTTTACACACCTTGGCCCTCACGTCAGGAATCGGCTCAAGGAAAAGTGCGTCTATGAATTACCTGATCTTGAACACGTGGTTAACATTGACAACGACTTTGACAGATTGGTTAAAAAGGTTGATATTTCAACAACACATGACATATATTGATGACCTATTGATGTGTCATTTTATAGGCACGCCAGGCGAACTTGATCAACATGTTCAATACAATCGATACTCAGTTGACCAGCAGCCGTCAGGAAAGAATGATCAAGAATGTATACAGACACATGTAAACGACAACTTCAAGAAATAGCGGTGGCTAGCATATTCACCCACTACTTTAAATAGTCTCCAGCAACATGCCTTCAGATGTCATATGCTCACCGATAGTTATCTGTCAAAGTGTTCTGAATTATCCACGATCATTAGATACTGTATTCCGATAGTCCAAAACCAGAAAGGTTGGCTTATCATCAAAACCCGTAATAATTGTGCAGTATAAAAAGGATGAATTATTTCATAACAGCAGATTTATTTTAATCTATTTTTCCTACAATAAAGATATACTTTTAACTCAATATATCTCAGGTGTATCGTTTTTTTCAAATACTACATGATGAATCCGAGTTTTTTCCTATCAAGATAAATCTAAATTGTAATTCCCAATGGCTTTCACTATGGCGGATTTGTTGTTTGTTGTAAAAAAATTTGTTGACAGAATCAACTAAGTTGTTGGTCATTTATATATATATATATATATATATAAGGATTGTTACAGGCCAACAACTATAGTAGATTATTCATCAAGTGTTGATTTCAGATTTGTTTATAAATTCTGGTGTCACGCTTTTTCACTCAGCGTGTAAGATTTATTCACGCCATTTTGTCTATGTTTATTTTTATTTTCATTTCCCATTTTCGAACCTAACAATTCTTTGAAAATGCGGTGGGAGCTAACCTTATAACTATTTTCAGCCATGGTGTACCGCACTATTCTAAGGTTACTAACAATGTCATCAAACCGACAAACAACATACTTATGCTGATCAGCCCGACGTAATGTTACCTTTGGCCTGAATCTGTCGTAACTTACCACCCCATGTGATTCAGCCACATCAATTAAGACAAAAAAGCCTTTCACGCCGTCGAATGTCGTCTCAAAAAAAGAAAGTGATGGAACTGACATAAAGTTGACTCGATGAATTGTTGTAGTGGCTATAAATGTTAAAAAAAACTGTCTGTCTGTACGGCTAAATAATGGCCATAAACAACCAATATTAGGTGGGATGCAGCAAACATAACATAGTTATTCCCTCTTCAGCGTTCCTTGATATGGTCTTTGAAAAAGAGGAGATATACACATTAGCATTAAACCGGGTCCGACGGCGCCATTGACTACACCATTACTTGTGTTGACAAGCTCGTGGGAACCGGAATATGTTCTGCGGTAGTACCGTTATAAAGCAGAGATAAGTTGTCTATCTGATACACTAGATAGAATTCGGATTTTAGGTCACAAAACCAAATAAAACTGGCCTAAGCCCAATATTTATTTTTACATTTTCTTCCTTGCTTTCTTCTTGAACTCACTTAAAAAAACACTATGGACCGATCGTAACCTTCTTTCTCAATGTAATATGTATGTCTATTAACGATGCTGACTATGTTTTAGCTTCAAGAGGACCTTCTATTAATAACCCAAACGTGTTTTTTAACGCTCTTTGCTTATATGTAAGGTACTTAACTTCCATTTTGAAGCATGCTGTTTTACGTTTTTTTTTTTCTACATAACTAACAACGCTTCTCATTCAGGTAGTCTAGGAGTAGCTTCTGCTCTTTATGTAGGCTGAAAATCTTACTGCCACTTATGGAGGCTGCTACTACATTCCTTTATTTTTTTCTTTTTTCTTTAAAAAAAGGGAGTGCTACTTTAGATAAAGCTGCAAGTTTTCTTTATATACTTCCTAAATCAAAAGACTGATGTGGACCACCTCAATTATTTTTCTAAATTAGAACACTCTTTATTTAAAGACGTTATGGTATATCTTTTGAACTTACATATCGTTTTATGCTTTTTTTAAGACCAACGGTACGTCTGCTTTATGATGGATGGTCAAAGTAAGGTTGAGATTACTCTAAATCGCTTCTTTGTGTTTCTAATTTTGTTTTTAGAGGGTCAAATACATTCATATGAAGCACTCTTTCTTGGTTTTATGTTTCGTTCGATGTCGGGTGCGAAAGACTTTAAACTTTATTAAACGTATATACGTCGTTCATTTTTATATAGAGATTATTAGTGCCCTATTTACGGTTATGCTGTCTATAAGAACGAGTATTGAAAAAGACTCTTTGCCTTATTATCATTAAAGATTTATCTGCTTCTCAATAGCCATTGTATATACGATTATAAAATCTGTTTAATAGTTAACCATGTGTTTTATATATTATGATGAATGAATAATAATGAAATCAGCAACCACTGGTTGTTTTATACCGTTTTACGAATGTAAATTTTAGTAGGATAATCATTAAAAATAAAAGCGCCAATAGCTCGTAATAGTTGTCATTATCGAGCATCATAACTATTAATTTTTGGGGAGAACCAGATTGCTAAATAATCAAAATGAAGAAACTGATGTTTTTGTGACAGATTTTATTCTTTCGATTTTATAATTCATCAAACTATTAGAAAGGGAAGCTCGCTACAGCAACCCAGAATTGTTGAAGTCATAAAATGGTTTTGCTTTATAATTACTTTAGACCATTAGTCGATGGGGTTATAGAATCAGTAATTCACTGTCGAAAAGTGACAATGAATCTTTGGTTATAGCAGCCTAAAATGTCGCTGCAGTGGGTGGTATTGAAATAATCTTTTTTTCTAATAATGCCCTCAATTATCATGTTACCTGTATGTGCATTCTTATAAAAGTTGAATCTAAGAGCGTGTAAATCTCATACAACAAACGTGACAAATCTGCATTGTATGCACCAACTTAACAAGGAACAAGTAAATTAGATAGATAATGACGTTCGTAACAAAGTCTGTTTATGAAATTATGACAGATATGTTGTAAAACCTCTCATAATTTTTCTAACGATATGTAAAGCGACTTCCCAAATTACTGGTTTTCTCGTCTTTGTCTAACGGGAATACGTTTCGAAATAACAGTATTGAAGATTGGTAATGTCGTATGCAATTCAAAGTCATGTTTATATTTATATAAATATTTGCAATAACTTTGATAATCGTATATTAGGGATAACAGTATTAAATAGGGATTATATATCTTGAAAACTATGTTGGTTTAAATAAGGATGTCCACTTTGTGAAACGCCGAAAAGAAAAGTTTGCGTTTTAAACAGAATTTCCATCTACTTCATGAGTAAATATTTCGCAATCAACTTCGTAATCTGCTATATACGTTCACACTTTGCAAACATCTCCAATTTTCTTACCGGCATCAATATAAATCACAAACGAAGTAAAATATTCTCTGTTGCAACTACATTAATGGTATGCCTACTCATAGTAATGTTTTGAGTGACAAAATGTAACGATTTATACTTTATATGGAAGGAGTCTACCAGTCGAAATTAAAAAAAAAGCTGTGTAAACGTAAGTAGTGAATACAAAAAAAAAGTCTATATACATTTAAGCCATACAATTAGTAATTAAATGCTCAAACGTCCATATGTACAAGTTGAAATTTACCATAGCTATAAAATATACTAAACTGCAAACACACTTAACATGTTCTTAAGCCTCAATACACACTCAAGGGCAATAATCTAAGACACTTCAAATTGCATTATTTTGACAGCCTTTTCAATTATTATTTGTATCGATTAATAGAGTGCAATAAATTGCTGCCTGTGATTTTAGCCAATTTTATTATATCTCATATGACAATTTCTCTACGTTATAACTTAATCATTTTCCTCTCCCTCCTACACGGCAACTTACGACAATGTTAGACAGCTGGTGAACCTTCGCCTTATAACTGGTTATATGTTTTATCAGATACCGTACGTGTTTCCCGCTCTAGCAATTTGCGCACAATGTTGCAACTGTGATGGTTTAAGTACAGAGTAAAGTGAAGCATGCGTTTGTCGCTCGAGCCATTTGGAAATACTTCAACATCTTGTTGATATCAGTGAACTATCTGTATTAGCAATAATCAGCGATTATTGTTATTCGAGCAAGGAGTTTTGTGATTTGGTATTTGGTATTTGGTATTTGGTATTTGGTATTTGGCAAATCGGACGGCAATACATGTTACATGCGTCCCTACCAGTCATAAGTAAATGTAACTTAATTATTAATACGGTGCGAATTCCATTACGAAACACAATTACATAAATATATTTATTCGTCAAGTGAGAAGACGAAATGATGTTTGATGCGTGTAATGACCCAACTATTCAAGACATCTATAAAACAGTAATGAGTATTATCTCTTTTGACAAAAACACGACTAAGTATCTGATCAGGCACACAAAATAATTTTATGAACTAACATTTTGAACCAACAAGAGAGCACAATCAGCTAAATTAATCAATTGGGCTTTATGTTACAAAAAAAAAAAGAGCAGCGAGAAATGTTCATCAAATAAAGCAATTATATTAGCCATGGTAAGGTATTCTTTGAGGTATATTGCAGCTACAATAAGCAGGTTTACACAACGACGTTTTGTAATAATTTGACATACCCAAGGATTTATTGGACAATTAGTAAACGTACAAGTTTTGGATTACCTGAAGGGACTACAGACACCATCAAAATAAAAATAAAATAAAAATGAAACGCTCCCGGGTGGGCTTGAACCACCAACCTCCTGATTAACAGTCAGACGCGCTAGCCAATTGCCCCACGGAAGCTGTTGTGACATTTTTTTATTTACAATTGTGATATGCATTTAATATATATAAATAATCACGTGATTTTCACGTGACATCACGTGACCTTTTAGGGGCGGTATAGGAAGTTCTAAAAAACGTCGCCGTTTTTTTTTGTTTTTTGTTTTTTTTTGAAGTACCTCAACCACAATACGGCATTTTCATAACTATCTTTGTAATTAAGCAAAGTAAATAATTCTGTCTAAACAAACATGGTTGACCCAAAAAAAATACTAACGGCACAATAAAAGAAGTCTTTTGTACAGGTATATCATGTTTTGCTTACTCTTTTTTGGAGCCATATGTCACGAATTAATCAGCTTCATGTAACGAAAAATGATGCAGTTTAGCAGTGTGATACAAGATGTTCACAGATTGTGCTCTCTTCAGATTAAGCGGTCAATTAAATATAAAAAAGAAGATCTGGAAAAGTAAGACAGAATAAAAGTTGGCGCTTGTATTATTATGCACATCACATGAGTTGGTGGTTTTCGATCAAAAGTGGCGGATTGGGTGAGGTAATTTTAAACCAAGTCAAATGTTTGCAACAGACAAGTATTTTTTAGTGGAAAATGTCAAAAATAGCGCTTCTTGTTTCGCGCCTTTTTTTTTTAAAAAAAAAAACCATCGAATCAGCTTCATATGTTTGTTGTAGAATATAATGTAAGGGCACATGATAGATAACAGGCGCAGGTTTTTCTATCACATTAAAAGATAACTTTTAATTCAATATTAAAACATCAAAAATAGAAATAATGTAAATTTATAGAAAAGGCAAACAATAGCTTTTTTTATACCACATGATTTTTTTGTGGTTTGTGTTCAACATAATGTGTTACAACAATACTACAGGCTAGTGGTTACTATTACACAGCGAAATGAGGGGAAAACTCCTTTAGGAAGTGTCTCTAACTCGAAGCGTCTTTAGAATCAACAATTTTTTTGCTCTTTTGCAAATATTGCTGTTTACGAACCTGGCCTTCATTACACTATTTATTCGTGCGACCCGAATGGTAGGTCATCCCATTAAACTTTCTTGCTTGCCATAAGTCAGGGTTCATGATTCTTTTAAAAGAGCTCTAAGCTATGATTAGTTAAGATATATTTATTTTAAGTACAACAACTTCAGACATGTCAGTATTTTTTTTTTTTTTTTTTTTTTTTTTTTTTGCTGAGGGTTTCAACTTTAAATTGTAGTGGTACAAGTTTGGAGTCGTGAAAAATTAAAGTGTGTCAATACATTAACTACTACAACATTATTATTTCTGTTGAATACCACTAGGCAGCTTTTGCTGTATCACACTGAGGTAGGCACGAGTTTGGAACTTGCAGGATTTCTCAAGACCTAATGCGTTAGACACAATATAAGCCGGATGTCCCCGTATTACATGTCACTATTAATGCTTGATAATTCAAATTAAATATATAAAAAAAAAAAAAAACGAATGCTAATATTATTTTGTAGGAAACCCTTCAAAAAAAAAATCTATGACAAACTGTACCTTTTCTTTGTATTACTTCATTCCACAATTGTATTGTGTACACCTTTTAGAAGGTCCCAACACTTACAGTCAAAACTGTAAATAAACTAATTGATAAGAAAAAGTAATACTTATAAATATCAAAGAAGATGAGCTGTTTCCTCTTTCGGGCGAAAGGCATTGTTATAATCGCAGTGTCGGTTGCAAAGGTACCTGATCCTTGGTCAGTGACCGACATTGACCATTTGAAGAGGGGATAAAAAAATTGCTGTAACCTTGGTTCTTCACGATTCGAATTTGCGAGCTGAATGGATGATGTATGTATGAAGGCATTACACTTTATTATTGTATAATCAAACCATAGTTTATGTCAGCTTTTGAAGAAATAAAGTTTAAGTTCCCTTAAAAACTACGTTATTTTTGACGAATTACTTACTTTTAATGATAATAGGTAACATGCGTACCATAATCGGGTTACAGGTCTAAATGAATACAATCCAGAAACGCGAACCGAGGATTACCTCCCCACATGAGTACGATCATAATGATGAACCCCTTGACAGAGTCGAAAGTTCCCCACAAAAAAAAAAAAAAAGGTAATACGCCGACTTACCTTTATCTTCTATTAACTCATCGCAATTCGCAGCATGTAATAAGTATCAACTCGCTTTTCTATAATTAGTGCTGCCTTCGAACAATTTAGTGATGCATGTTATTTTTGGTTACTGATGACGACTTTTTAGCATTTATGTGGCAAGTTACATGAGAAAGGAAAGTCAACCATATGAAAATTTCTACGCTTTTAATTTAAAAAAGCGCCTGTTGGTGCTGCAACTTCTATAAATGAACAAAGTTTCTGCATTAAGAATATATTAAAAATGTTATAGCATCATCTGATTACTTCTTTACGCCATTTTTCTCAGGAAATTATCGACTGATAACGCCGCAAAAAAAAAAAAAAAAAAAAAAAAGAAAAAGTTGTAAACCAGATATTAATTTGAAACAACGGTCGGTAAATTGAGATCAATGCAGGGTGGGAAGAACCAGAGGTTGGTAATTGCCTTTTATGTGGCATGGATCGGTAGCACATTAATATCGCCATTTTAATTAGATAGAAAATCAATTGATTCCCTATTAGGCCATCAAACAATTGACAAATAAAAATCAGGTATGATTCGCAATATGTGATTTGAAAGATCAAAATATTACAGAGAAACATAAACAATACTTTTTTCAATTATAGTTTATGGTACAGTTCTCTAGCATATGTGGCATGTACAACATTTCAAAGTTTAATACATCTGAATTCAAGAATGGATAAATCATTTATAAAAGGATAAATATATTATTCAAAGAATTTTAGGATTTCTGTGTCAAAAAAAAAAAAAAAAAAAAAAAAAAAAACTTTTTTTTAAAAGTCCTTTTTAAGAGGATTCATTGGGTATTGAGTCATAAGAAATAAATAAACAAGAGTGGTTGAGAAATAAGATTGCTTCTCAGCTTTGATTGTCATCCGATTTTATATAGGTGTGGTAGTAACCATAGTTTTTTTTGACCACGAAAAAATAATATATGTTTTTTTTTGAGTTTCCCGAAAAGCCAGGTGCTATTCCTAATCGGGGAATACCCAGAAAACCTTTACTAACTATTGGTGACACCAGGACCAATAGCAAAATCCCTTTGCACCAGCACAGTATACTAGAAATACTTTTGTAATAAAAAATGCTGCATTTTTAAAAAAATATTGTGTGCTTGTGACATGGATCTACGAAGGTAAGCTAATCGAAACACCAGATAAGGTTATATATCAAATTTTAATTGGCTGTGATTTAAAATACAGCGTATCTCACGACTCTAAGGAAAAAAACAGATATTGATCCTAGCGTGAGAAGGAACGGAGTTACTGTGAGAAAAACGAGTGCCATGTGTCTAGTTGAGAAATACTTCCAAATTTGGACAAAGGTACAAAATATAAATCCAAAATTTACTCTCTTTTGTATATATTATACAACTATAATTTATATCTTATCAGTATCGGTGATTTTTTGGAGTAAAAGTACACATTATTCGCAATTGCGAAAGAATAAAAATTACGATAATCTATTTTTTTTTTCTTTTTTTGCCTTAACAGTGATTAGAACCCAGTGAAAAGTGTCATATGGCAAAACTAATTTGGAAAAATGATTGGTCTGACAATTTGCCCAAAGTCATTCGTTCATCTGAGTTACTTATCGTGTAACTACCCGGAGTGCTAATCCTAATTTTTGTATATAACAAGGGCAATTTTTCCAGATCAAAATATATTTTTTTTCTTTTTTTATACATTTTTCTTTATAATAATCATGTCAGAGAAACTGGAACAAGATAAAGTTTCTCATCACACATACGACGATGCCGAGTATCAAGACGATGTAGTTCACGGACCTGAGCCTACAGAACAAGATCGTTTGGAACTTAGAGAAGTCCCTGATAAGATTCCCGCCACTGCATACCTTGTCATCATCATTGAGTTCTGTGAACGTTTCACCTACTACGGTCTTAGTGGTCCTTTCCAAAATTATATCCAACATCCTGCTCCTCCTAGTTGTATGTTTATTTTCGCTATCTTCCTTTTATAGTATTTTTATTAACAGTTATATTTTAGATCCTGCTGAACAAGCTGGTGCTATGGGTAAAGGTCAACAAACTGCTACTGCTTTAACTACCTTTTTCCAATTTTGGTGTTATGTCACTCCTATCATTGGTGCCATCATTGCTGATCAATACCTCGGCAAATATCGTTCAATTCTTCTCTTCGCTATGATCTATCTCTGTGGTTTAATCATTTTAACTGCTACTGCTTCTCCTATGGGTATTGAAAGTGGTGCTGCTTTCCCCGGTTTCATTGTCTCTATTATTATTATTGGTCTCGGTACTGGTGGTATTAAATCTAACGTCTCTCCTCTTGTTGCCGAACAATATACCAGTAAGACTGCCTATGTCACCACTACTGCCAAGGGTGAACGTGTTATTGTCTCCCCTCAAGCTACTTACCAAAAGATTTTCACTTACTTCTACTGGGGTATTAACATTGGTTCTCTTTCTGCTATTGCCACTACTGAATTAGAAAAGAACGTTGGTTTCTGGCCCGCTTATCTTTTACCCACTTTAATGTTTATTCCCGGTATTTGTGTCCTCATCTTCGGTCGTAAGCGTTATGTTCAAAGTCCTCCTCGTGGCTCCGTCTTTGTTGAAGCTGGTAGACTCTTCTATTATTCTACTAAGGTTAAGGGTGGTTTGGAAGCTTGTAAGCCTTCTAACCTTGCTATTGATCACCCCGAACTCGCTCAAAAAGCTACTTGGGATGATGTCTTTGTTGATGAATTAAGACGTGCTCTTAAGGCTTGTATCGTTTTCTGTTGGTATCCTATCTACTGGCTCAGTTACTCTCAAATGTCCAACAATCTTATTTCTCAAGCTGGTACCATGTGGACTGGTAACGTTCCCAACGATATTATGCAAAACATTGATCCTCTTGTCTTGATTATCACTATTCCTATCATGGATCGTTATGTCTACCCTCTTCTCCGTAAGTGGGGTATTCCTATGCGTCCCATTTTCCGTATCTCTCTCGGTTTCTTCTTTGGTGCTGTTGCCATGGCTTACACCGCCGGTATCCAATCCAAGATCTATGCTGCTGCCCCCGATCTTATTTCCGCCGGTTACCAAATTCCTTCTTACGTCTTCACTGCTTTTGCCGAAATTTTCGCTTCCATCACTGGTCTTGAATATGCTTACAAGAAGGCCCCTGAATCCATGAAGTCCATTGTTATGGCTATTTTCTTGTTCACCAACTGTCTTGCTTCTTGTCTCGGTTTCGCTTTAGTTTCTGTTACTGTCGATCCCAAGTTGACCTGGATGTACACTGGTATCTCTGTCACCTGTTTCATCTGTAGTATCTTGGTTTATATTTGCCATCACAAGAATGATGATAACGATATTGCCGATGATGCCATTGGTCGTACACACAAGACTGAGAAGTACGATCCTAAAGCCGTTGACCAGGAACTCGAAAAGGGTGCCTTGTAAAAACAACACAAAAAAATATTTAATAACCTATCTATTAGTTTTCAACAGCAGGGCTGTTTATAAATTACACTTTTTAATAAATTCTTAATCTTAATATATCCTTTTCTTAACAATAACCCATCTGTCTCTTCAATTTTTTCATATATAATATATATTCGTGAGAATAACATGTCTTATCTCTATGGCTCTGTTAAAAGTTAACCCGTCAAGATAAAAATAAATGTGTACAACCTGCTACTACGAATCAGGGTCAGGCTGTGTCACAAAAATCAACTTTGTTTTAATTTTCAGCTGCTGATTATGTAATTTCGTCATACCACACAAACATACATAGTTACTAAGGGCGTTGTTTTTTTACCCCCGTTGATAAACTTTATTCCATTGTTATGCAAAAATAAATGAGAGAAAAAAAAAAAAAAAAAAAGGGTATATGTACATGCATATTTTTGTTTTTTTACAGTTCTTTCAAATGATCCAATTTTCGAACAATTAATTCGTATGTAAGAATAGTAATGGCTGATGAAGGTACGGTGCGTAATAAGTTGGTTGAAATGCCTTTATAGAACCCTCGAATACTTTCTTCATATAAAATCACCTTAATAGCATGACATATACCTTTGTATTTATATGGTTTGACCAGTTGGTTTTGTAATCTTGTACGGATTACCTACAAGGATTATTAATATAAGATAGTAAAAAAGGGGTAGCAAGGATGATCAACATACCTCGTGTGGATAGGTTGCTGTACTCGCTACCATTTTGGATACAGCAGAAGCCAGCAATATGTTTGCAGTATCTGATTGTACGTTTGCTTCTGACAAGGAAGACCTTAACTTTTCATATAAAGGGAATTGGATCGCCACATGACTAACACCGATTAACGATGGTCCTAATCCTTTATAAAAGCCTCGAATACCTTCATTTCTAGCAATAGTGGAAAATGCATCGAATATATTGTTGTATCTGTTTGGCGATCGCTTACTTTGTGACTAAAATTATGCATATATTAGTTCATGTTGCTTATCATTTTTACATGTTTACTTATCCTACCATAAATCTAGTCTTAATCACCCAAACAGGATTCGTTAATGAGGTGGATGCCATACCGGCCGTCATTGCGGACGCTATATGTAACATCCAGTCGTTGCCTGGATGACCTTTTTTTTTTTTTTTTCAGAAATAGAGATTAATTATACAGTAAAACATCAAGATTTTCTAGAATTACTCTTTTTTGCTATTTACCAAGATCTTTTGCCCAAGCTATTTTACAATAATCGTAAACTGTGAAATAGATCGCCCAAGTAGGTAAATAGCCAACTACGGTGGGACCTAATCCTCTATATAATCCTCGAAACCCTTCTTCCAGTCTAATTCTTTTAAGCGTACCTGCACATATTTATTTGTGAGTATTACAGTGTAGGTGTGTGATGTTATGCATATATTACCAACGGTGCCTTTATATTCTACAACACCAACCTCTTGTCTGCCCTGATTCTGTAATCTAGTCTTCACTACATCGAGCGGACAAGTAACAACGGACGATATAATACCAGCGCCTGCACCAGCAATGGAGTGTTTAAGATTCTCATGAGTTTGTCTATCTTATAGAGTTAACAAAAAGCAATACCTTTCGGGTTTCCACCACTTACGCAAAGTCTTTCCACCAATTGGCAGCGTAACTCATTGAAGAAAAAAAGAGAAGAAAAGTGTGTTTTGCGGAGAGAAAAAAAAAAAAAAAGAAGAAAAAAGATGGGTGTTTCATTGATAATCTTTTTTAAGTCTGTATGTGATACGTGACCTTTTTTTTTTTCTATAGCGCAAACACTTACAGTACAATCAGATTGTCTCAATAATATTGCAAATTGCGTCAACAGCTTGCAATATTCCCAAGAATTTCCATACGATTGTTATCCTATTAAAGCTTGCGACGACGGAACTAAATAATGAAATCCTTGACTACAATAACCAGTCTGCTAAAAGTAATATTGGGAACCCGCATAATAAAACCCGCTATTCCAAATAGGTCTCAGTGGAAGATTCAGTAAAAAGTATTCTTTGGGTTGTATGCGCTCACCTCTCATGATATGCAATAGCTCCTATAATAATGGAGTACTTAGTCTTGTATTCGGCACTTAGTTTGATTGTGACCATTGTCACTTTTATTCGATACATTGAGCCATTCATGACCTGGGACGATTGATAAGATAAGAACAACAACCCTGAGGAACCCGTAATTATACACTAGCCGACAAAATAATGGTTCGATCACTTTATTCTTTAAATCATGAAAACTTCAATTAATCTTTAGAATTTATGATTGGAGTATGCATAAAGCTAGACATTTTCGGCTTGAACTTACCTATATTTATAAACATTTAATACCCAAACATGACGGGCTTAATGATGTATTCTACAGAACTAAACTTGATGTACATACTGTCCATGTGACAGTGTAATGGCTATAGTCTTTACTGGTTTATCTTGACTTGAGGAAGGGGGGTCTTATTGTTTTAAAGGGAAGTAGGGGTAGCGGTAATGACCAATACAAAGAATGATCAAATAAGCTTAGTCTGATACTTGTGCTTAGGATGTCACCTATCAAAATGTAGTTCTTTAAAATTTCTAAAACTAATTTTTCTAGCTTGCTACGAGCTAATACACAGCATATGCTCTAAACAAATGCAGAGCTGTCATCATGCTGTTGTGAGCGAAAATTATTTTTGACCACCGACATTTAGAGTAATAGATTGCGTGACCGTGCCATTGTTCTTTTTCCTTAATCAACAATGTCAGACAGTTCAACCCAGGATTTAGACGGTCTCGACTTTTCCGAAAGAACTACAAAAGACAGGTTTAACGAGAGGCTACTAGAAGCACAAGAAAATAATGCAGACAATGAGATCATTGGCCGTATAGTGAGTTAGGACCTTTGTTCAAATGTTTAAAAAAACTCATTTCCCCCTTTTAGGACTTTAATGATTTTTATACATCGGACGGTTCAGAACAACTACAGAAAAAGTTCGAAACATTGCAAGCCCAAGTTGCTCGAATGGAGGCTCAAGTGAATGACATGGAAAATAAACTAATAATTAGAAAAGAAAGAAGAAAATTAGAGGCGTCTTTAACAAATATGTCACCAGAAGAAAGAGCAGACCATGTTATTCGTCAAGCAGAGATACAAGAAGATACGCCCGATCTAGACATTATATTGTAATGACAATTCATCAACTTTGAGAAACACGTACTAATGAAATTTGTAGTGAATACATGTTGCTTTTAGGAAGTACCTCACCGAATGACACCAACGACTTGTCGACAACCGATTTCATTAAACCACATGCTGATATTCGCAAAGCTGCATTCGAAAGTGAGTTGGTCCTGAAGCAAAAACAATTCTCGAACTTGCAATTCACCAAAGCAGACAATATACTCGAAAGCAATCCAGACGACGAAGGTAAAAGGCGAATATAAGGGTGAACAACAATTATATTTACCCACTTTTTAGGTGAAACACGACATTGTGCGCTTCATGGTACTTCATTTGGTAACAGTTTCAGCATCACGTTTGACGTAAATGAACCTTCTATGGTCATGTCAAACGTAGCAATTAATGTGGGGTTTGAAATGCAATTGGAAATAGGCATTGTATTGGAAAAGTTAGTATGCGGATCAAAGATTTTTAAACGATTTAGTAACATTTTTTGTAAGGACAAGAGAGGAGTGCGACATCCTATCGTTCTTTAAGGTTCTAGGACATTATGGATTATTAAAAAAGGATCGTGAAGTAGTGTTTGAGAAACTTGTGAAAAGATTCAGTGATACGGATGTCCATGTTGAAGTGTTGTCTCCATCAAGGCTTAAATTCGAAGGATCAGTGTAAATAATTCGTAGCTCTCTAATTACTATTCTTCACTAACATACATATACATATATAGGAAGACATACTTAATATTAGAATGCAGAACAATTGTTGTGAATACTGATAGACATCGACTAGATGCAAATGCAGCAAGCCATATTCAACCAGACATATCTCTAGACGCATTCAATGTACCTACAGGTAATGTTATCCTAAATGTATAAATCTTTCAACTTTGAACTAAACATTTTTCTACAGACGATGATGAATCACTTCAGTTAATGAGTAAACTTAACGCCGTGTTTTTGGACATGGTTAAGAGACAAGGGCTATATACTGCAGCAGAAACTATCGTCAGTAAAGTTTTATTGCCATAATTCGCTGGCGAGTTATTTAAAATCTCTTCTCATATTATAATCACCTCATAATATTACAATGCAAAAAATGATGAAGACCAAAAAGTAGACATTTAAGTTCGTTTTTTTTTCAGATGAATTAAAAAAGAGATGTTCAGATATCTACTTGTAGCAGGTAAATATTTTTTATTAAGGTTGAAAATCCTTTTGGATGCCTCTAAAATATCACCACTATCCGAACAGTCAGAAGAAGTTTTGAATTTACCTATAAGATAAATGGTGCACCTTCAACACTTGAACAGCACCTTTACTTCTTGTTGGTTCTTGGTACTTTGTATTTAAAGCCGACCAACTTTTAAGTATTACAGTTGAATTATGACAGGAATTTATTGATCATTCTGTTCAATAAGAAGAGTTTAATCAAACATTTCAGCCTTTCAAAAACCCACAGTTATATCTTTTGTATGGATCACTTTGATAAAGTTGCCTTTTCATTTTTTCTTCATGCTTCAGAATGTCTCTTTACCATCAAGTCTTTTATAATACGAAAAAAAAAAAATTATATCGTCATCCAAAGTTTGCAGCATAGAATGATCATGGTACGCAGCGGAAAGCAAACAAGTGTCTTTGTCTTCCCAGATTCAATCACTTTGGTGAGCGACAATGCATCCAAGTGATTTTCAGGTCTAGCCGCAGCGTTGTAATAAATTGAGCTCTTTTGAAGGGTGTAGCCTTTAGGGTAAATTGAAAAAAAAAAGTATTCGATTGGTTTCTTGAATGATCATCCAGAATACTAACTTTATGTATCTGTTTTTTTTTGATATAAAAGATATCATTCGTCAATTTTACGAACTCGGTAGTAATACCTACTACTGTAGATGACGTTCTTTTCTTCAGGAACCGTTCAACCTTAAGGTAGTCCTTTTGTGCGCTCTTTGATACTTGCCTGTAGAAAGCTTTTCCTTTTCTGATATTTTTTTTACGGAGTAACTTACTGGAACAAGCAGGAAACGAGTTTTTTTAATTTTAATTTCTACTTACATCATAAAATTGTCAACTACTGTTTGTGATATTTATTTTGATTTTAAGTTAGTTTTGCCTGATTATCTGAAGGAACATACTATTTGTCTGAAAATATCAGGTCTCCTCATCTGCCCTGAAACAATTTTTATCAATCTGAATTATGAGCGCGAGTACCGAGAGAAAAGCTATTACTATATGTTAAAACAAAACCTCAATTGGGTTGCAACTGTACACATATGTGACGGAAATATCTTTTTATAGCATTTCATACTTGTTCCACATTGTTTCCCGATGTATGCCATTTCTTTTGATCATGATACACAGTACATATTTACACCTGATCATTTCACCTGTTTTGTTGAAATAGCCGTTTCTTATATCTACAAAATTTGGCGTAATTGATAATATATTACAATAAGGAAAGGTCGGATGTGAATTATCGATCACATTGAGAAAGATGACAACCTATCATCAGACACATACTAAATTCTTCAGCTTTATCATAATGTGAGATAAAACTAAAGAAAATAATATGGGGATGACAAGAAAAGCATTGTTCCATCTGCCTATTCATTCAGCTCAGATGATTTCAATAAAAACAGACAATGAGTTACAGTTGAATGCAGTCTAGTGCCGTTTAAAATATTGCAACATTTTAAAGTCCACTTGTACGTCTTTTTAAGTGTAACATAGGATGGTGCGATTTTCATCCAATAAAAAGATATAGCGATTTCGCCATCATTCTGTTAATTCAGTGGACAAAGAAAAGAAGCTATTGTATGAAAAGGGGAAATAAAGAATATATCTTCTTTTTCCCTCTTTATTTTCTTTTTACTTTTCTTATTCGACTCTCTTTACTTCATTTTTTTTTTAATTTTACGCTTTTTATTATTATTTACTTGTTATCTTCCTGAATACGGTTTCCTCCGACGGAATAAAACGAACAGATACCACTACTTCTTGCTCTACCGGTCTTTTCCTCAAATGTTTTGCACATTTTGTATGGAGGCGTATATAAGTGAAGAGACACAGCACCAGTATGTTGACTTGGATTGGATATACGATGCAAACCAATGTTATCTAGTGCATATGGTTAAAATAATAGTAATTAACCCTGGGAATTTCTATTGGATCCTTACCATGTACGTAGGTGACCTGATTAGGGTGATACACAGTGTTATTTGATACAGCCAATGGTTTGCCTTGATGTGTCGTTGACGATGAAGAAGCCGAAGCGTCGGTGATATCGCCGACTGTTTCAACAGAGTCGGTATCTGCAGATGATGGCCAATGATATTGCGTTTCTTGCAATTCCCCATCTAATATTTTCATGACACAATGTGACCCAGAATGATCATGGATTGGACTAAACAACAAAAAAGTCATGTTAGGGGGGTGTATGTTTGAAAAGGGTGGGAAAAAATCAAATATAGCTTACCTTTGTTGACCTTTGCTCCAGGCTAAAATCATTAAATTAAACTATTGGAATGTTTAATCAGAAAGCACCACTACAAGGAAATATCGTTTTGCTTTTACCTTTCCATTTCCATCATCAACAAGATTACGAGTATATGCCCTTGAATGATCGAACAACGTGTATTTATTCCAGTCAACAGAATTAGAGCTATAACGTTCCATCAACTCAATAATTTTTTGAGCATCAATATGTTCAGCATCCAAACCGTCATCACCCAATACGCCATGAATGGATTTGATGAGGTCATTAAGCTTAAAGTCATCCATAGGAGAGGACTGGATAGGCTGATAGGATTCAAGTGAAAGAGGTTCTTGAGGAGGAGACATGATTGTAGATTATAAAGAAGAAAAGATAAAAATGCTTGAACTGCATATAAGGGAGTTTTTATATCCGCGATAGAGAGATTATGGCTATCACTGGAATATATCAACCGTCGGACAACAATGTGACATATATTTACAGATGGACTAATAGAGTGCAACAGCGAGAGAGTGAGTATAAGGGGTGGGGGGGGGACCGACTCTCTATTGGTTTCTTGTTTTAGGAAACTTATGCTGCTTTTAAAAGCAAATGTCCCCCGAATTTGGTTACAGCTCAACCTTCTTTTTTCCCACAATATTTCTGCAGGTAAGTGTCAGGGGAATGATTATAAACAAAAAAGATATTGTGTAATTGTACTTTTTTTCTAAATAAATAATAATCGATCACTATGCTAAAATGAGGAAATGGAAATGCAGTGGAGTGTCAAAATTTATTTCATGTTTCAATTCAATGGAACAGTCATTTGATGGATGACGCTAAATAATTTACCGCATTTAAGTATGCTAGTCTGGTCTGTCACTTGCATGATTATATCCAATGTAAGTGACTGTAACCATGATACAATGTCTGAGTCGAGATGAACAACCAAGAATTGTTTTGTTATGGATTTGATTTCATCAAATCTTTGCTCTATCCTCTTTTTGTAAGTCATATACGGGACACCTTGACGATTGATGCAATGCTATATTGCAGGATATTATTATTTTTAATAAAAGGAGAATACTGATAAAGTGACTTACATAGAGCAGGGCTAGTTGATATGTAATATATTTATGATTTGATAGATTAATATCGTGATAAAGCCTGCACGCGGTAACGTAAAGTTCATCTAAGTGATTCAATTGATATTGCTCGTCGGGGATTGACAATAACTGAGGTTGATTAAACAATAATTTCATGGATTTTGGATATAGCGATTTCTCATTTTTGATAGTCTCGAGCAACGCTGATTGGTGTTGGCAAGCAATGTCCATTTGAATAATTAATGCATTTTGATAAAGTTCCTGAAATATTCTTAATATTATTATATGCCTATTCATTTCCAGCAAAATGGGGCTACCTTTAAAACTGGTTCGGTCGTTTTTAAACCACCCTTCATTTTCCATAGTTCTAACCGGTTGATTTTTTCCAGAATAAGCTCAAGTTGACAAAGTTGCTTAAGTAACTGTAATTCCTGACTTTTCTTCATTTCCTTTCGTGGTAACATGGGCTCATTAATTCGGATCAATACTGGAATCCTTTAGTTTCTTTCCTACTCGTCAGAGATTTACATGTGCTTACCTAGATTGATCTTGCTTGAATGAATAGTTTTTAAGGGCGGTGTTCGTGACAATGGACTCATGTTATAAAGTATATGTTTTCAAAAAGAAAAGCAAGTGACCAACAGGTGACCATTATAAGTGCACAAGATAAAAAATAGCGCCATTTCAGGGATGATGTGCAATCATTTTAGAAAGTAGAGTCGCTGATTTTGAATTTAACGTGGTGTTCTTGCACATACACCGATTTCCATTTACATTGGTTTGACCTCATTTTTCGTGCTGTCGTCTTATATCTCGGGATTTTTTTTATGCAAATTGTACAGCTGAAATCATAATGTACCTGAAAGGGACGCATATATGTTCACTGAAAATCCTAACTTAGTCGTTTGTTTAGATATATAAAAAATGTGTTAAAAGTCAATGAAAACCGACACGGCTTATTAAAAGAATACCGAGAATAATTGATGAGGCAAAAAAGGACTTCGAAAAGTAGAGTCAATTAAAGCTGGGGTATGATAACTATTGTTCAACTTCTCTCAAGAAAAGCGTATGTAAATTTATAAAGCCACCAAAGCCAACATCGTCAACAACAACAATTATGAGACAGCTAGAAAATAAATAAATAGAATATTATAATCAAAAGCCAAATAAGAACATCCCGTTTTAATGAAAATGTTTCCTAATCATTAAGATATTGTATCAACGCTTATACTGTTCTCGTTTAATTTGGTAGTCTGCCAAATTTCGATAGGTAATTTTACTTAAGTGATACCGTCAAAATTTCAAGACATACTGATAAAGCCGAGATTTTTTTTTGGCTTGACCATGTAACCTACATTTCCATTGATCTCTTGTCAATTAACTATATAGGTTGTGCTCTATTTCTCACAATATGTAACTTCAATCTTTTAAAATAAGATTCTTTTCACAATTTAATAATGTCAATATTATAGTTTTTGTGAAAAAATAAAGATTTATTGGAAGTTCATAATTAGTTACGTCGTGGGCTATAAATAGGCCTAAAAGAGCCCAGGACTGTCTTGGTTTTTGGTTAACTTCTTAATAACCGGGTTTTACGACAGAACTAAGACTCAGGAGTTTGCTCGTTTGGAGCTTGTGTTCCTTCAAAGCACAAAAGTGCTCCTCCCCCAAACTCTCAACGTTCTTGATTGTCTCGTCCAAAAGCCCTTATACAAATTATAAAGATTTTTCTGATTTTTTATTCATTAGCTAATATCCACTTTTACCTTAACCTCTTGCCAAAAGTCGAGCATACCATCTTGTTACGCCAAGCTTTACAGCCGCAAACCATCATCTAAATTTACTTAGTTGATTTTGCCTTTCTGAATGGTCATGCGGGACTGTCTAACGCCTTTAAAAGAAATGAGAGTCAACTATATAATTGTTTATGAAGATTTAAATGGTGTCCTGTAGTTTTTTTTTCTTTTTGAAAACAATGTACTGCTTTTAGACGTTAATTCAAGCAGTAATAATGGTCAGTTGGAAGATAGGCAAACATCTTACTGGGAAGCGCAATTTTAATTGGCAAATATAAAAGTTAAATCGAAAGCTTTATATAATCCATTACATCACCGAATGATTATTTTAAGAGACAAAAACATCAAATATCCAAGTCTTGTAAAAGCTAACACCGAATGTCTCTCATTGTATTTATTTAAAAAATATGATACACTTGCTATTATAGAAGTAAGTGAGACTACTGGGAAGATCTAGGGTGAATTGGATGCTTCCCGTCCCTTAAAGAACAAGGCGGGAAGGAGTTGTTGACGTGGAAAGAAAAGGCTGACAATATTATGCCACTCAGCAAGTGAGGTAAAAATATTTACAGCTCTATTAAATACTTTTTTTTAATAAGATATTACAAAGCTGGCAAGGCGTTGATCAACAATTAAGCTAGTTAGGAGAGCTTAATGGAGCAAACGACACCAAATTGAAAAATAGCGATTTTGGTTTCTGTACATGAGTTTTATTTATTCTTATTTTTTTTTTTACAGTTGATATATATATATATACAGTCGATCAACAACTGTTTTTTCTGGCTCTTAATATACTTCTCTTTTCTTCAATTTGGGTCTGATCAATTTGAGCGAAGGCATTTTGATCTGAAAATATATACTGAGACTTTGTGTTACTATCAAATACAATGGAATGCAAAAAAAAAAAAGAAGACTTACATCCATAAATGTGGGACAATCGATCAATCGCCTGGGCATGTTTTGAAGGATTTGAAATATTTCAATGGGATCATGTAACTTACTTATCCCATCTTTATTCATATGGATAATTGTTAAAGCTACCTGAAATATGACACTATATCCCTCACTGTTATATAAAGTTAGCACTGTAGATTTATCATACCATCAGAAATTAAATTACATGAAAAAGCAATCCCAAATACGAAGTACAGTCTATTAAAAAGAAGAGAATTAATAAGGCGTGAACTATACTTCATACAATGAATATCTACCTCGACCGGTAATATATTGATAAACATGGTAAGGAACCAATGACTGGTGACTAACGTAATAGGTGGAGATCCATTTTCATTGTTGTTGATCTTTGCCCAGACGTCTTTTGGCAATCGTTCCTGCAACAGTAACATCAAAACTGATTGATCTATGTTCGCACCTTCCATTGTCACGTCATACATATTTTCAGGCATGTAATCATGCACGGTAGCTACCATCATCCAAAACGCCTCCTCTTCCTTTTCGACAAATAACAGAAAAAATCCAGCTAAATAGTTGAGTGATTGGCAATATCCGATTTGTGGTGAGTGAATACTAAAGGCCAATAAAATGCGTCGAAGAGCCGAAAGTTTGGTATTAGTTTCAGGCGGTTCCATTGATATTGAGCCATCTCGTTGTGTAAAATAACCACAGGCAAATTTTGAATTGTCTGGAAAGGTGCGGTGAAGATCTTTTATTTTTGTAATGTTTAGATAATGAAGATTGTTAATGTCTTTATTTTTACCTCTTTGAATGATTTCTGCAAATTCGTTATGATCCCCCATTGAAATGGCCGTATTTACTAATGATTCATATAATTCAGGATTGTCGTCCATTTTGCTCTTTGCACCACTATAATGCATCCAAGCCTGTATTTATTTAGTTTTCATCAGGTATTGTTATTGTATGTAAATTATTACCATTCCTCGATATTGGCTGGGAATACCTTTTCGAACATTGGTTCTTACTATATATGTATAATAAGGGGGAATTGTTATTATTTTGAATGAATATGGATAATAAAAGGTGTACATGCGAGTTATACTATTTGCAGGCGGGTAAACTCCCTGGCATTGGTTCAACATGCTGTTCCAATTTAATTGTTGTTTATCTAGAATAGGCTGGTAATATGTATCAAATTGATGTAAATGCTTTATCTGAACCCATTGTGTAGGTCTTTTGAAGCCATAAGAATCTCTAAGTTAAGAGTAAATTAGGATCGGTAAAGAGAGACTATAGAATGAATTATACCTTTCTATGATGTCGTTCATTGTGTACAAGTCTTGTCTATCCATAAAGAAATAATCATGATGGATATGTCCATCGTCTAATAGTCGCCAAGGTTCTTCTTTTTCCGAATATGTAATAGATGTAGAAGGAGTGGGTGTTGGTGATAATAAACTATTGATGGTGATATTTGAATTTGATCTACTCGTAAATGGTGATATTTCTGGAGTGGTTTTAGTTTTTCTACTAAATAAAAATTGAAAAGCTTGGTGTAAACCGTTTTGTTCTTTTAAAAGCATTCTTTCTTTTTTTGTGATAGGTACGAAAGGAAAAAGCAAATAATAAAAAAGATGTGAAAGGAATGGTTATTTTCGGCATAAAAGAAGGGGGGAACATCTCTCTAATACCCCCCCCCCCTCTTTTTCTTATATTTTGATGAGGGAGTTCCACTTTTTTCACTCCTTGTCACCGTGTGTTGGCCTTACGCTTTCTTCATCTGCCATTCAAAATCCGACGGCAGCAGCATTTTGTTTGTTGATACTCTCATAAAGCCGTGATAATTAAGACGCATCATTTTTAAAACAAATGTCAATGTCTCTTATTTTTTAGGGCACGTGTATCATATTCTCTCCCCTTATTTTCTCCTCTAAATGACGAAAAAACAAGACCCCCAAAAGTCAATCGGCACACGTAAGGTAATGTGAACGAATTACGCCATGATACAATCATGGGCGTAAAAAAATCATATCTGCAGCAAAGTATTAAATACTAAGCATCCAAAAGCATCTAAGATTAAGCATCGTGCACGCTAAAAAAAGAAGGTTTACAATTTTGCTCAAAAAAAGCTATTCTTGTAACAACTCATATTTTTGGGTATTTCCTTTACTCCAATAAAGGGGCGAGTTCTTGATATTAAAAGGTATGCATTAGAAGTTTTTAATGCATATAACGAATTGAAAACGTCTACTGATTATTATTCTAGTGCACGGGCATTTTATCAATTGTAGAAAACGATTAAAAATTTATTTCAGTTTGGGTACCTCCAAAACATGCCTTGGCATAACGTATTTGATTTCGTTGTTATCGTCCTCAAATTGGACTTTGTAATTACCCACATAAGTAGGTTCTTTGTTCTAATAATAGATCATTAACATTTAACCGCCAAAAAAAAAAAAAAATCATTGTTACTTACTTTTGTGGGTGCCGCAATAACTTTGGCCCTATAAAAGCATGTTGTACCAGGATAGAGCGCTAATATGTCTTGACCCGGATTCAATTCTGTGTAGTTTCTGGCTTCGTCTGCGTCTGGAATTGGAATAACGTTTCGGGGTTGTAGCATGTATCGTCTAGTGTTATTGTTAGGATACATCGTGTCACTTTTTTTTTTTTTTCATTTGAATGTTTTGGGTAATCTTACTGTTTTTGGCCATAGTCGTCTTGGTCGACGTCTTCGACTTGATATCTAATAATACATTTAATTTTCTGTAACTAAAATTTAAAAGTCGCACCATTTACTTGTTTTTTTCTGTATGGTAGCTAATGACTACAGCTAAAATCCATTCTTCATTTTTGTCCTTTTGCTTTGGTTGCCTAGCAGCAACTGATGTGCCGTGGGATAGTATTCCAGTCGAATTGCTACTGAGCAATTACGTCAATGACTTTGCCATTATTATAAACAAACACTTACGCTTTGGATTTCTTGGATATCTGGACGGAAGAAGCTTCCTCCTGTTCCGCCTTTCTCTTTTTTCGTTTTTGGTCAATGACTAGATACTGTTTTTAGCCTGTGTTACTTTCCTTATTTTTTAAAGTTTTTACCGTTGTTGTACTCTGACGCGTCCCTTAATGCAACAAGCACTGATACCTTTTCAATGATATCATGGATTGTTCTACATGCAGAATAATTTAGAAATTACATAAACCAAGTAAAAGAAATTACATACTTGGCTTCACTGTGGGATAGATCAATGCCACCTCTATAATATTCCATTAATCTGCTCGCAATAGATGTTGGAATTTCTATTCGTCACTATTAGCATGAAAAATTATGCAATTTTATATTATAACTCTCTGTTTACCCTCATTAAAATTGACTGCAGTATGAATACTATTGATACTTGTTACTACAGCAGACGTTTCCTTCTGAATAACTTCTAGCTTTGCTAAAGCGTTACATATTTGCTTCCATAAACTAACTTCTTCGTTCGTATCGTCTAACGTAGCGGAACGTGAGGTACGAGATTTACGATCCATTTAAAAATAAAAATACAGATGGCAGTTTATAGAATAAAAAAAAACTGGTTTTCGCTAATGTCTTAATATTGGCTTCTTTACTAATCTTGGGATTCCTTATAATAGGAGTACCTTTTTTTTTTTTTTTTTTTTTTTTAAAAAAAAAAATCACAAGGCGAGAAAAAAAAATCCAGTAAGTTTTTGTTGATAGTGTAAACTCAGCCCCCAAAAGTAGACATTGAATCTCAGGATGACATGTTTGGCCTGAAACACCGTCAATCGCTCCCACCTCCTCAAAATAGACGTGTGATAAGTTCCTGGTTTAAAAAAAAAAGTTTCCGACTGTTTGCTAATTTTATCTGTTTATAAAAAGTTAACCAAATCGGTGGTTCACGTGTGCATGTATTTATAACATTTACCAATATAAATCAAGACAACATTTTTTTTTCTAGTTGGTTGTTCAAAGAGCGCGTAAAATGTTATTTTCGGAATTTACTGTCGTTCTCCGCCCATAAATTTGAGTATAAATATTTAAGTCTTTTTCCTATTTTCCTCCTCTTCTAACATTATTCTATTCTATGAAATCTCTCTCTTTTATTGCCCTTACAGTCCTAACTGCTGTCAATGCAGCTAGTGTTACATTTAAAGTAATTGCACCTGAATGTAATACGGACGTTCAAGTCGATATCAATGGTCAATTGACCAAACTCACTGCTTCGGATCCTGATGTTCCTTATTACACCGGTACTGCCGAATTAGCAGATGATGCTACTTACAAGGTAAACACAAATTTCGTCATTGTTTATTTTTCCTTTTTTACTAATATCGATACAATTAAAAGTATGTTGTTGACGGTACAGCCGAAGATTGTACTCGTAGTTTGGAGGAGGGCTCTTCCACTCGTAATGAGTTCTATAACCGTCCAATTACTTATGCAGATATTCCAGAATTGCCTAGCATTCTTACTAACGGTAGTTGGACTCGTGGTGCTACCAGTCATCCTATCTGGGACAGTAACTACATTCCATCCGTTTTCGTTACTGCTAATGAGGAAGAAATGGAAAACTTGATTTTAAACGTACCCAAGGATGTCTATTCTGCAAAAATTACTGTTATTGGTCCTGACGAAGTTAATACTTTTGAGGTAACAAACTAATTTTTTAAATTTTTTTTTGATTAAATTTAACTAAGTCTTTTATAGAACTGTACCGTGAATCTCCATCGTCCTGGCCGTAAAAACAATGATGCTAAACAAAGTTGGGTTTATACCCTTCCTGAAGGTCAATTATTGGCTAGCCGTAGCACATTCAAGCTCAGACATCAAGAAGAAGATCCTACCCAAATCCGTGAAAAGCTCTATGCAGATATCTCTAGAAAGATGGGTACATATGCCAATGAAGCTAATATGGTCCGTCTCTTTGTGAACAAGGAAGGCATGGGAACTTTTAATATGCTCGATGATGTGATCAAGTATTCTTACATTGATGCTATGTTCAACAATGGTACTGAGTCTACTGAGATGGGTGGTCTGTTTGATGGTGGATCTGGCGCTACCTTTGACCCTGCTGATGGCTACTACAGTTTCACTCCTAATGAAGAATCTCCTTTTGCACAAGAAGACATCGAGCCTTTTGCTACCAAATTCGAAGCTGTTGATTTCTCCAATGATGCTCAAGTGCAAGCCATTGCTGATTACTTTGACTACGATCAATTCCTCCGTTTCATGGTGATCGAGTTCCTTACTGGTGATTGGGATGGTTATTGGATGGAACAGACCAATATTGGTGCATATATTGCTGCTGATGAGAATGACAAGATGTATTTTCTTGCCCAAGATTTTGATGCTACCTTTGGTGTTAACCTTGCCTATGAAGATGACTTTGTCGAACTTCCTTATACCGATTACCCTACCAAGTTCCCCAAGGCTGTCTTGATCAACAAACTTTTAGAAAATCCTACCGTCAAGTCTACTTTTGAATCTTATCTCCGTACTACTGTTATCGAGATTTTCAACAATGCTACTCTTGGAAACTACGTTAATGCTCGTCATGAATTCATCTATCCTGATCTTGAATGGGATCGTTCTATCAAGCAAAGATCTCCTGGTAACATTTTTGGTTGGACTGCTGAGCAAACTACCCAAAACTTAGTTGAAGGTGTTACTGCTCCTGGTGCAAGCACCGGTGGTGCTGCCTTTGGTATTTTGGAATGGGTTTCAGAAAAGGAAGCTGCTGTCAAGGCAGCTCTTAGCATTTCCGACGATGAAATTTCAAAGCCTGCTGCTAAAACTGAACCTGTTGCCAAAGTAGAGCCTGTCGCTAAAACAGAGCCTGTCACTCAAACTCCTGCTGTCACAGAGGACGAAACTGCAGAAGAGGATACTACAGATGAAGATGTTAACGAAGACCTTTCTGGCTCATCTATCAAGGCTGCTTCTGTCGAACAAGTTGACAGTGCTGCAAATGGAAAATATATCCCTCAAGTCTTATCAACTCTCGCCATCGTTGGCGCCGTTACTGCGTTACTTTAAATTATTAATTCTATATCTCATTTAACCCTTCTCATCATTTTTTCCTTCCCAATATACAATATAATAAATAATTGTCACATGCTTCCAAGTTCTGTAAATGGTTTCTATACAACAGGTGTAGTACGCATATGTGCACTGACAGTATGTTGTACCACACTACGCATAATCGGATAGACGGTTAATGTAAACTACATAGAACGCTTTAAAACAAGAGATAACGCTATTATTAAAGTGGATCCTCAAAACATCTAAAAGATAACGTACGATACTTCTAAACTTTTATTATTTGGATGGAGTTTTCCTGTCTTTAGTCTTGGCAATTATAAATAAAACGGGAATTTTAAGGCACATCGTGTAACGAAGAAATCTTTACCAGGATAAAAATATCCCGAGGACATTTAAAGAAAAAAAATGATATATATCAAAATAGATTAAGAGTACCCAATCAATACAATTATCACAACACCAGTCCACGCTGCTTCAAATAATTTCACACACTTTTAATTGACCCATTCACGCCTTTGCTTTCCCAATCCGTCTCCTCCATTCATACGTGTATTTTTTTTTTTTAAAAAAAAGGGAGACCAGCATTATTATGCCTGAAAACAGCCAAGGGTGACATTGTTGATGAAAATCGAATCGACACAATGCATAAAAGATCGGCACAAAAACTTTGAGTAACTTCACTTGACTATTTTGGTAAGCCTTGACACAATAGCAGAAGTATGAAAGTACTACACAGAACTGCTCAGGATAGAGCTAGCGGACTGATCAATAGGAACTGAAATAGAACATTTTGGAAAAGTAAACAATCAGAGTTTACCGTTAAGCTAGCCTGAAGAAGAAAATATAACATTTTGTAAAAGTTTCGATGAGAAGTCTCGTGCCCGAGAAACTGATGCAGTCGAAGGCTTACAACGGATGCGATAACTTTAAATCAACAACTGGGACACTGAACCAAAACGACCATTGCTTTTAGGAAAGTAACCGTCAAAAAACCTTGTATCAGAATAAATCCAAGATCCTAAAGACTTTTCACAATCAGTTTGTTCCATGTGAACAGACTTGAATTTTAAAGACTAGCTGGATCAATACAATGACACAGAATTTTCATTTGTTAGCGTGAGATTTGAATTAATAAAATTTATTTTAAAGTTAGGACAAATATTTTTTGCAAGATTTGGGAATTATGATTTACGAAACGAAAAAAAAAGGGTGCCGTTTTAAGGAGGGGGAGGAAGCAAGATTTATATATAATTTAAGCAGCTTCGTTCTTGAAGGTAAAAGAAGGGACACCAGGAACAGCATTTTCGGCAGCTCTAGCATCTTCTTCAGCACATTGATCTTGAGTCAAGATAGAGATGGTGTGGAAACCAAGAGTACGCTTTAACTCATCCTTGGCCTTTTCAAGAGTCTCGACTTCGTTGAAGATTAAAGTACGGTTAAAGGCCTCAGGTCCATCTCTTGTGACAATCTTCTTTTGTTCTTGGACAAAAGGCATTGCCTTCTTGTTCTTGAGGACGCCAGCAGCACCAAGGTCTTGACGAATCTTGACATCATCAAAAGCACCATTGTTATAGTTCTCTTTCAAAACGGTCAAACAAGCTTCTTGCCATTCAGGGAACTTGGTGGCAGCAAAGATCTTGAGAGACTTGGGCTCGTTTTGCTTGAACTCGTTAACAGCAACCTTACCCTTCTTCTTCTTCATCAAGTTGAGTTCGGCATCACGGATGGATTTGGTGGTCTTACGGATATAACGGGTAGCTTCATCAAGAGATTGATCAACGGGTGCGGTGGCCTTAGGGAAGCGAGCATCAACGACCAAGCTATCCTTCTTCAAGATGTTGCGCCACATGTGTTCAGACCAATGGGGAGTGATAGGAGACAAGACCAAAGTTTGGGTTTCGATGTAACGGAAGACCAAATCCTTGTGCATACCACCTTCAGTACAGGCCAATTGATAAGCATCCTTAGCAGCTTGCAATTCATAGACACCATACTTGAGTGCCTCACGATAGTAGGTAGCTTCATAAGCGGTCTCAGTAGCGAGAACCAACTTGTTCATCTCGTTCTCAAAGATCTTATCGTAAAAGTTGAATTCGCCAGTACGGAGAGCATCAGCCTTGTTGACTTGATCTTCAGACCATTCCAAAATTGTGTAAAGACGCAAGATAGCGGCGTTAGCTGTGGAATCTTCAAAATTGGCATCTTCAACGGTGTCACCAGCATCAGCAAGGGCAAGACGAGTAGCATCAGCACCATACTTGATAGTGGCATCACTCATGGTCATGAAGTTACCAGTAGACTTGGACATCTTCTTGGAGTCAAGCATCAAATGACCGTTGGAACGGATACCTTGGGGCCACATGTTTTCAGGGAAGATGGCAGTGTGGTTATACATGAAGAAGGTCAAATGGTTAGGAATAAGATCCTTACCAGAGGCACGAAGATCCAAAGGATAGAAGTACTCATATTCACGTCTCAAAGCAGCGAAAGTGGCTTCAGGGATATCAGTGTCAGTAGGAGCTTCACCGACCTTGAAAATGTAATCCCAAGCAGCATCAGTTAATTGCTCAGGTTTAACACCGGCAGGGCCAACTTGATGACCGTTGACAGAGCCACCGTGCAAGAGGTTAGCAACGGTGTAGTAGGCCATATAGATGGTAGAGTCAGAAAGAGATTCAACCAAGAATTGCTCATCCCAAGGCAACTTGGTACCTAAACCGAAACTACGAGCACAGGCCCACTTGTTCAACCAATCCAAAACAGCTTCAAATTGATTTCTGGTTTCGTTTGTGTAAGTGTTCAATTGGGCCAAACACTTCTTGGTCTTGGCTAACCATTCCTCCTCTCCGTAATCAATGTACCATTGATCTAAAAGAGCAACAACACATTCATCACCAGAACGGGACATGACAAGACTCTCAGGTTCGTTGTAAACAAAAGCTTCGCCAGACTTGAGCAAGAATTCTCTGACCTTGGGCTTGGCATCTTGAACCTTGACACCGGCAAATTCACCGTAACACATCACACCTTGATAGAAAGCTTCCTTATAGGCAATTTCCTTGGCTTCGGCAAGTTGGTTTTTATCCTTTTGGGAGTTGATCTTCTTGATTTCACAAAGCTTGGGAGCAATGAGGTTACCATAGTTGGGGGTGTCAATGATAGGGATGGGTTCGAAACCGTTGACCCACTCAGGTTCAATATGGTAATATTCGGGCTTCTTCTTGAGATCAGAAAGGGTAGCGAAATCATCAGGAGAATCAGAGGGAACAGAGGTAACAACACCAGTACCCTTGGTGGCCAAGACAGTCTCCATAGGAAGAACGTAGACAGCAGGATAAACACTCATGGGGGCATGAATCTTAGTACCGACAATGGGAGCACCCTTAATATCAGCAAGCTTGATGATTTCAGTGGAAGCAAAGAGCTTTTGTTGGGACATGTTACGAGCAGCACGTTCAGTACAGAGATAAGCTTCGTTATCATTTACTTGGTAGATACCATACTTGAGATCAGGACCGACGAAACAATTGGTTTGACCATACATAGTTTCGGGTCTGAGAGTGGCGGCAACCAAATAAACGGTCTTACCCTTGAGGGCATCGGCGCTAGAGGCAAGAGCATCTTGAGCAGCCTTGGACCATTCAAGAACCTTCATCTTAATACCTGTATAATCTTGGGGACCAACAGCCTCACCAGATGAACGATCGTGATCCATACAAGGTTGACCATCCACAATAGAGTAAATAGTATAACGCTCACCAAACTTAATCTTTTGCATGGCTCTCAACTTTCTCATTTGCCAGCGGACAAATGAATCGTAGTAAGGGTTAGCATCGGTGGTGATGAAAGAACGACGCCAATCGACCTTGGCACCGAAAGCGGTCATATCACTGATAGTTTGAGGAGGGAAGAACTCGCACCAATAGTAGGGGTCAGCGAATTTATGGATTTCAGTGATATCAATACCGAGAGAAAGCATAATTTGGAATTGGTAAGTGACGTTACCAGTCTTGGCAGCAACCTTACTCTTAACATTTTTGTTGATTTCGGTCTTTTCGAGTTTGTTGGCTAAAGCTAATTCTTCATACTTTTCGAAGTTCTTACCAAACATAGCCAATTCACGAGTAAGTTTATCAGCACAAGCCTAGAATTATGCAGGTGTCAAAAATTATTTTCCAATCCTTTCAAACTTTCTTTTTCTTTTTACCTTGATGGGCATACCGGTACAATGGAAACCTTGAGGGAGAAGAGCTCTCTTACCCTTCATACGCTCATAACCAGTGCAGAAGTCAACCTTGGAGAAAGTAAAGGCATGGCCCAAATGCATACGACCATTCATGTAAGGGAAAGGCATACATGCCATGTGCTTGGGGTAAGTTTGGTGAAGATCCTCAAGGTTGGGATGTTCTTCAACGGTAGGGGCATTGACTTCAAAAGCCTTCTCGTTGTCCCAAAGGGTACGTGCCTGTCCTTCAAGTGCACGAAGAGCGTCACGCTTAGCAGTCTATTTATTTATAACCCAATATTTATTAGTTCACTTTTTTTTTTTTTTGCTCACGCTTGTTCAAGGAATCAGTCTTGCTTCATGATGAATAGTTTACCTTGGGTGCTTCAGCTGCCATTTTCTAAAATTATTGGTAAAAGAGAAGTAGCGAAAAAAAAAAGACCCATTTTTTTTCCTTTACACGGCCGGAAATTCAATATGTCAAACACCCAGTTACTATGGTGGCTTGGGGTATTCTTAAATTTTATTGGATAGTTTCTTGAGTCATCCTTTGAATGTCTAGAAGCTTTTTTGTATGTAAATGTACTTGTTATGGTGATGACATAGGAATTGCTATTGTTTTATACCTGTATACAACCGCTATTGTAATACAATTTGTAACAGAGTGAGTTCTTCTAATCCAATTATAGACTGGTCCCAAAATAATGTGGTTAATAACCCGGCACAATGTTGTTATCTAATAGACCACCCGATGTCTAAAGAATTTTTGAAAATTCCATTTAGCGTAGTGTTACAGAGTTTGTACTAGTGCAACGTAATTATATGGTAATTACGTCATTTAGTATTTCATAAATGCATAACAAAAATAACGACATTAAGTCCTTTTTTGCTACTCCAAATTATTTATCTGTTCTTTGTAAACTTTAAAAATGAACTCTCGTACTTTTATGGATGATATAGCTATGTACATGTTTGATAGACGACGTATTGAGGAGCGCAACAGTAGAAAAACCAGAGCAAAGTATCAGCGACCTGATTTAGAGTCATGGACAGAAGAAAAGTGCTATAAAATGTTTCGTTTTACCTACAAAGAGATTTGTCAAATTTGCCAACTCATCGGTTTGGATAATAAACTAAGATTTAATAGCATCAAGATAACCAGGGAGTTTGCTATGGCTCTGCTTCTTTATCGACTCTCATTTCCACGTCGCTTATCAGATATGGTTGACATCTTTGGTATGGCTGAAGATAACATTGGAAGAACTGTCAATGGACTGTCAGATATTTTACTTCAGAAGTTCAGGTATGGCCTCGAGTTTGACGAGAGACAGTTTTCCAAATCCAATTGCGAAAAGTTTTCAAGAGCTATTCTAGAGAAAGGGGCATATTATCCAAACATTGTTGGTTTTATCGATGGAACCATGCAACAAACATGCCGTCCAAAAATCAACGCAGACCAAAAGGCATTATTTAATGGTTGGAAGCATCAACACTGTATCAAGTTCCAAGCAATCTCTACCCCTGACGGAATTACCAGCAGTTTATCCGGTCCTTACGTTGGTCGACGAAATGACAGAGGTATGTTGAACGAAAGTCAAATGCTTCAACGTCTTCAAGCGCACTTTGGGCATATTTCTCCGGAATACGAGTATTGTATTTATGGAGACGAGGCTTACTGGTCCACAATGCATGTCATCCAACCGTATCGTAACCCACTAAGAAATGAGTTCGAAGGCGAAGTGAATCTTTCCATGTCAAAAGTTCGAGTAGCAATTGAGATGGAATTCGGCAAAGTCTCTCAGTTGTTTAGAGCATGCAAATGGAAGTATGGAAATATTGTTTCGCAGACAAGACCAGCAACAAAGTATATGCTCAGTACAGTTTTCAAGAATTTTCACACCTGCATTAATGGATCTACTGTATCTTCGATGTTTGATTTGCAACCACCATCTCTCGAGGAATACATACAAGGATTGATGAGAGAAAGAAGCCAATTTGATATTGTTGAATAATTAAAAGCTTATTTATTTAAAAACATCATAAACATTTGTTGAAGCTTTTGATTATCCTCATGCAATGTTTGAAGAGCACTCATTATTTCTGAATGCTCTTTACGACGGAGACCATTTGATCTCTCGAGTATAGACTCCGGCTCGTCTTCTATCATTCGAATAGGTTCTACAGTAGTGGTTGTTTCTACAGGATTAATTGCTGAACCTGTTATTGCAGTAGAAGGGCCATCGTCTCTCTCTTTCCCCTTGTTCTTATGAAAACATTTGCCTTCCTTTGCCAGTCCTTGCATACGTTTATCCCTTTTTTCCGTTTTCTCTATATCCTCTCGTTTCTTTATCTTCTCGTCAGCAGAACACTTGATATCTTCTTGGTACTACAAGGTAAATTATTAATATGTCATATCACTGATCAGTAATTCAGTAAAGATAAATACCTGATTCCAAGCATTATAAGCAGCTCGCTCAATATCCGAATTAAAACGATTGATTCCAGACGACTTATTAACCACATTCTCTGAAAACAAATGCTTATACTGGTCAAGTAAATCATGAAATTTGGCAATCATTGCCACTCTTTTCAAAGGAGTTTCACTTTCGTCCTGTTCATTGACCTCTTTCAAAATTCGTTCCCAATATACTCCTCTGGTTTTATATGGAACTGCAAATGGCCTATGGGTTACATATGATGTCAAAACGGCCATTTCACGTTTTTTGGTCCATATCCCTCTCTTATTTGTTCCTTTATCAGAGATTTGTTTTTTATCCTCTTCCTGTTCTTTCTTTCCTTCTGTTCTTCTACGTTTTCTGCCGTCTGTCTTTCTTTTTTTTGGGTCGGCATCAACAAAGGAGAGTGTTACTTGATTGTTTTTGTTGTTATTGGCTTCTTTCTTTGAGTTCATTTAAAATGTTTAGAAGAATAAAAAAGAAAGGACAATATTATGGGTCGAAATTGATAAATACACTAATTGCGAATTTATTGAACAATAATTTCGTAATGCTTTTTATTTTGTTACACGACAAGTGATTAAAATGGAAATGGTGACACGAAAATAACAAAAAGTTTAGTGAAATTTTAAAAATTCTTTAGACATCGGGTGGTCTAATACAACTTGTTGTTTTAATAGCAATATCCGAGGAGTGCTTAAGGGCTGATGACCCTAAAGTGTGACACAAAGCGACTGCATTATCAACATCACTGTGATGATCAAGAGAGGGCTCAGCTATTTGTTTTGTTTGCACCAGTTTTTTATAAGAAACATACTCAAGACTCCTGGACTCCCCTTCCCCTTGTATTTCTTCCTTTTTACCATTTCTTTCATAACCCCCCTTTTATTCTCTTTATTTCTTTTCACTTCTCCTCTTGCTACTTTATCTTAATATAAGCTTTCGTTTGACTTCTAGTCAATAACAGCCATAATAATAAATGATAAAGATACTTTTATTATCATTTTCAGTACTCTTCTTTCTATCGAACCATGTAACAGCACAAGGTGTCAGCGCTATTGCTGGACAAGCACCTATACCCGGTAAATCTGTGTACATCAAACAAAGTAATTCGATATGGACTTTCTCGTTTGCAAAAGCAAAATCATCAGAAAATACACTGTATACGATCGATTTAAACAAGAGCTTTAATACATTAAAACCACCAATGTATGTATGGCTACATAGTAAATTCACACACGACATAAAATAAAAATAACAACCTGTATTCATTTACTTTTCTTTTTTCTTCTATTATCTTGAAAACTTATGCAGTGTCGACAACTCCTACAAAATCCGAAATAACGACTGCCTTGTAATGCGTTTCGCCCAAGCTTTCCCTAGCCCGGATGGTGTCAGTGTAAACATATTCGGCGTCGGTACAGATATCAATGGCGTTTTCGAACAGTATTTGGCCTTATGTGAATTCAATACACAAACAGGCGTCTTCAGACAGATTAAGCGACAGAATCGTGCACCAGCTAGACGCAACGCAGCATTCGAGGTGAGCGAATCAGGAACAACGTTCATTTGGGGTAAATAATGAAACGCGCACCCTCTTTACTTTTTGTATAAATAGTAACCTGCTGCTTTTCCCAATTATAGGGGGTACTTCCGACGAAATTACAGGTTTTAATGCCAATTCACAAGGATATCATGGAGCTCCATTTATCTGGCATCAAGATGTTACCATGTATGATAAAGACGGTTGGTTCGATGGCCCTTCCTATAGTGGTCCCACCAGGACTAATGCTACTATGACACAAATAAAGTTTGTTCTAAACTCCTAAAAGAAATTGGCAAATATTAAACTTTTTTTTCCTAAAACTAGAGACACCAACGGCCAACTGGTCATTATTGGAGGTGCCACAATCAACAATGTTTCTAACGTCGATATGGTGACCAATTTTCCTTTAGCAAACATGTCTGATATCATAGTTCTGGATCCTAAAATCTGTAAGTTTTGTATTTTCCAAATCTCTCATTATGCGCTAACTTACAAAACTAAGATACCTGGACCAATATCACTGCAATAGGAGATTCAATCCCAACTCCAAGGAAACATCACACAACAACCTTACATCCTGATGGGCATACCTTGATTATAATTGGGGGAGAGACCTTTAATGCATCAGGTGCATATTTACTGAATGATGTATGGCTATTGGACACGAGTGATAAAAACCAATATAAATGGACTGAACAAAAGGTCGGAGGAGACATCGGCCTTTATCGCTCTAACCATACATCTATTTTAATTGATGACCAAATATGGATCATTGCGGGTACGAATAGCACACATAAAGCTGTAGACATACAAATCCTGAATGTCACAGATTGGACTTGGACTAATAGTGCAGTATCTACACACGCTTCAGATACAGCCCCTTATGCTAGTCTTGGTGGTGTCAAGGGTCTGATTGGTCTCATTGTAGGAGTTGTTGTCGGTTTATTGTTGCTTGCTTCCTGCTTCACATTTTGGTGGTGTCGACGACGACGTATTAAGCCTTTTTCGAAGAATAACCAACCTACACCACCCGATAATGATGGTATGGTATTTATCAATAACAGCGATCCACAAAATCATCGACCTCAATATTACAATAATGATATACATCAAGACAACTTAACAGAGGATAACTCCAAAGGTACAGGCGCATCCAGACCATCCATGTCTACAACTACGTCAGGTGGTATAATGGCGTTAGCAGGTAACGGAGGAGGCGATTGGAACAATCCATATCATATGAATAGCTTCACAACAAACACAACAGCGCCCACAAGCCATGCAATGACCGGTGCCTATTATGTACCACAATACTCTGGACCTGTCACAACATCAGCTCCGATGGGGGATCACTATTATAACAACAATGAATATTATGCAAACAATGCTTACAATGGTAACATTGGCTACCATCATGAAAATGGGGCTGATATAATCCACTCACCCGGAGATTTCGGATCGACAACCGGCGCAGTCTATTCAAACGACCAACATGTAGGCTATTGGGACAATTCACAGCATCAGCCACAACAACGTCAACAATTCCCTACGTAAGCCATGACGATAGCAGATCAACGTAAATTGGCACTAATTTCTTTTTGTTTATAGTGAGAATAATATTTCGTTTGCTGACCAAGACTTTATGCTTACACCTATGAATGAAGCCACAGGGTCTCGACCAATTTCCAGGGTCCAGCCAGCTCAGGCACTGCAAAAACCAAATGAGGTAGATGCAACGAACCTAATCATCTCGCCGACAGAGACTTCTCCGACTGCCTACACTGGATCTACCGCGGCTGAGGACAGTCGGGCCGCACCTCCAGCTCAGAAACTTTAAATTAAACTTATTTCATTCCTTTAAAAACAATAGTGCAAGGGATCCTGCGTCTCTTTACTTCTGCAGTCTATTTACAAATTCGAATTATAACAACTTTTTTTTTTCTTTTTTTTGTTAAGTATACCAAATATTTATAAACAAATTAATCGTTTGGATCATTTGTCTCACGATAATAATTATAAAAATAGATTAAGATTATTTGAATAAGAATAAAGGATAAAAAAAAAAAAAAATGGTAGGGGGAATACTGTATCGGTGTAGCTTTAGTTCTATGAGAGAGTAGTGGATGTACTAATCGACCCAGGTGTATCGTTTGTAACTTCTGTCGTTTGTGGTTGTATTGAGTTTGATTCTCCAGAACCATGCAAAGGAAAATGCTGCGTACTGATGGCTTCAATTGAAGTTGCTAATAAGTCTTGTTGTTTCTCTAACTCTGTGAGTTCGTTTTCTAGTGATGCTTCTAATTCATCATATTGCTGTACTTTAAACGATAGCTTATCAACCATTGTTTTGACAGCTAATCTAGTCCAATGTTGGATTTCTTCATCTTCATAGCTTGCAAGTTTGCGAGCATTTTCAACCGCAGTTTTTAATGCAGAAGTGGTAGCCTTCTTCATTAATTCTTTTGAGAAGATTCCCGTCTTATCATTCTCTTCTTCTACCTCAACAATATCCATGTCCGCATCCATATCTACATCCACTGATTCTTCATTTTTAATTATTGGAATAGCTTCCGTATGTCCTTCCCCAGATTTCATTAACTCTTTCAGGGCAGTCTTTGCAGCAGCAGCGCCTACGCCCGGATTAATATGACCCGATAAGAAAGCAATTGTTGTCATAACGGGGTTAGGTAAGTCTCCAAAAGGTAATTCTTCCAATTCCTTTTTTGATAACTGAGCCGTGAGAAACTCATCGTTGATCGGTAGCTGTAAGAATTTTGTGATGCATTGTTCTTTGGAGCGACTGCCAACATGTTCAGATATCAATAACCAATCGTCTTCAAAACGTTCTACGCCTTCCAGTAAATGTAATATTTCATCGTCTGTCCATTCCTCTTCCATTTCCAAATCATCTCCGCCTTCCATGCGCAAAAAATCACCACTAAACAATGTGGCAGGAAATCGGCCCTCTAGGAAGCAATCGATGCACACTTGAAAATTTTTGCATTTCAAGGACTGATATCGAATTTCGCTGCAATCTACTTGGCAATTGGAACAGTGGAATATCTTGCGGCCATCAGGGTTGTTAGGGTCTTCAACAGACAGGTCCCAGGCTGAACGAATAGGTGCCACTTGTGTTTCATCGTAGATGAGCTTGCGAAGGTAGTCAATATCTGCACCTTCAATATCTTTAAAATTCCTTTGCGATCCTGGCTTGATTTGTGCTGAAGGATCACTATCAATATAAGGGTCGAATATTCTCCTACGAGGGTCTGGCTAAAGGAAGAATCATACACAACCTTTTAATAAGGACTGTAAGAAATATTATGTTGCCCAATTGTCACTTACTCTGGAATTAATCAAGTTGTAGCTTTCCAAGAAGCTGTGCACCCTCACTAAAGTCACTAAATCTACATCCAGTTTGGCTTTACAGGCAGATATAGTCAAGTAATAATCAGGATTGGATTTGTACGTCATCATCATATAATCTCTGTACATTTTGTAACTGTCTGGGGTTAATACTGGATTATCACCCGTAAAGAATTCCGGTAAAGCTAATCTCTCAAGATCATGTATCAAATCGTAATTAAACCACTCTGGTAAATCGATTTCATCATAGCTGTAAGGCATTGCTTTGATTAAAGAAGGAATATTGACGGCTAGAAATTTTTTAGGTACTGAAATAAAAGCTTCACTAACTTAATATTTACCTTTTTCATCGTTATTATCGTTAAATTTCTGTATTTTCGTTGGTCTCCTAGGATACTCTACATGTGCGGCAGTGTATTGAGATATATTTGTGATTTCACCATTCAAATAAGGTTCAAATTCGTTTTTTCGTTGACGACTGCCTACTTGAGGTTTTTCTGCTTCAATATCTCTAACCCGTACTACTGGTTGATGATCTCGATCAAGTACTGGCACGGGTGGTGCAGCTATTTCGAACTGGGATTGCTGCTCATTAGATGCAACGGCAGTAGGTTCTTTGAAGGAGTGTGAATCAACAGGTTTTTGCATGATAGGTGTATTTATTTCGCTTAATTTTCTTTTTCTATTCATAATGGTTTCCTCTTCGTCCTCTTCTTCTTCCTCTTCGTCCTCCTCTTCTTCTTCCTCCTCTTCTTCTTCCTCGTCAATATCCTCATAATCCTCTTCGTTCATTAGCTCGTTAAATCGAACTGTATCCTGCAACCATCTAGCAGATATGCGCCAAGGACCACTATGCTCTGGTGGTTCTTCTGGATCCGCAAATTGTTGCGTCTGTGGAAGCCAGCTGTCAAATGAATCGGGATAATACCACCAATGAACCAAAACTAAAGGTCCATCCTTTTCCAATGTTCGAAACCAATCTTCTTCTGCACCTTCGGTTTTGTATTCATGTAATTTACCGTATATAATATGCGTTGCATCATTCCTGTCTTCTACTAATGAAGCTATATCACACATAAAAAAAAATACTCATTCAGTCACACGGCAAACATTTTTATCAGTTCAACATCGTTTTACCTCCAATTTTCTTTACAAGCGAGGTGATCGTTTTACGAGTAGCTTCAGGAACAGGCTCCATAATTGCGATTTTAGGTACCATGATAAAGCGCTTCTTAATCAATTGATTTCTTATAGCCTGTACAAGGTCAGCATTTTTCTGCTTCTTTAAAGGGTTACTAAAATCCCATTTCTTCCAACCTTGAGCAATGCGATAACGATATGCAGCCTTTAACATGGCGTAAATGGCAGAATCCCTTGTGAGCTGTCTTTTTGGGTTCACTTTAAATAACTTGGCTGGAATACGCACAGGTGCATTAGGTGGTCTATTAAAAGCACCCAAACATTCTTGTTGGAATTGTTGCAATTGTCCAACAAACAAAGAAAGATCGCGAGCTGTAAATGGTATTTCGCGTTGCTTTAAGTCTGATGCCAAAGGCTTAATTATATCTTGAAAGCAATCGACAATTTCACTGGATTCATAATGGCTTTGTCCTAACGCTGCTCCCCTAGGATTTCTTCCAGACATTTTTTTTATTTATTTTTGGCAGTATAAAAAGTTTTTTTATGGGAGGATTTTGGGTGTAATTATAATTAAACAAGCGCCCATCATAATAAAAGACCCATACACACTACGTCATTGTATTACAATTCATTTTGTTCATTACAGAATGTTCGTTCAGGGCCAATTGTACGAAAAACTTAGTAAAGCGATTTCTGAAAATGAAATGTAAGCAAAGAGTATAGCAAACGTTTTTTAAAAAGTATTAACAAGAATTAATAGTGATGAGTTGGGTTTATTGCCAATGATGCCAGAGGCGAAAGAACTGCCAATGGAAAGTCAAAAATATTATCCTCTCGTCGTAGTAGAGTCAAAACTGGGGATCTCGAAATCTGATCTTGTAGTATTACTAAAAGAAGCCCACGAAAAATTTATCAATTTACCGAAAGACTCCTATAAGGACCTCGAGCAGGTGACCAGAATTATGATTCTGTTAAAGCCTGATAATTATACCGCCATGAACAGAAGGTAGCCAGTCCATACCTTGCACGCTTGTTCATACATCAAAGTAGTAATTTTTTATTTAGAAAAGAGTTGATATTATTAGGCTATATCGATCTTAAACAAGAACTTTCATTAATCGAATTAATTTTTACTATCCCCAAACATTCCAAAAGTTCCGTCGCTTGGTATCATCGTCAGTGGATATTCACCAATTTCAATCAAATTGAGTTAAGCGTTGACAATGAACTTAAACTATGCACAACAGCATCAACTTCTTACCCAAGAAATTACTACTCCTGGAATTACCGGCACTGGATTTTATGTACATATTGTACACAGGATCTTCCTTTTATTGAACATGAATATAAAAGTACCTGTCATTGGATTGAGACGCACATCAGTGATTATTCAGGCTTTCAATACTTGCAGCATCTTATGGGTATGCTGGAATTTGATCACAAAAAAACTGAAATGGATCAACATTTGAATTGGTTAGATGGATTGATTATCAAATATCCAGGGCACGAATCGTTATGGTGTCATAGAAGATTCTGTTCAAACATGTTTATCCATTCTTCTGATTATTGTAACTTACAGCATGTGTTTATACTTAATATACTTAATGACACATTCAAAGACCAATCATTAAGTGATGATTTAAATGACATGGTCATGCAAAAAGAGTTTGCATTGAAATTTGGTCTATGGCAGAGTTTATTGGTCAGTGATATCGGTATCTTGTTTTATCAACTAATATATTGACATGTTGTCAACTAGGAAAAGAGAGGTCAATATAATACACATAATGCAAAGCTATATATAGCTGTTGCTCCTGATTCAGACTTTTTGGATCGACAAAAATAAGGCATTACGTATGTCATATCAAATAATTTGAAAATGGACTAATATTGTTGCGGTGCAATTTCAAGGAATAAATAAACCTTGTTTCTTTCATTACAAGCGAGTGGGATTACCCGGTTCAAACCCTTGTTTTTACTTTATGTAGGGATAATATGTATGTGCTAAAAGAGGGAGAGAAGAAAAAGAGAAAAGAAAAAATGATCCGGGAGGAATTTAGGTTAATCGTCTCTGAGTGTTTTATGAAATGATTTTCTATGCATTACGTTTGCCGATCATTTTTCTTACTTTTTATATCCACACATCAAATCATACCATTAAAAGTATTTTATTCTTTTTTGTAAGATCCGATAATTAGTCAAGTGAATATTAGATAGGTCTTTTGTTGACATCCCTTTCGGCACAAAATAATTAATTTTGAACACCATAAATGTCATAATTTGTTTGGAAGGTCTTCGATCGATTAATTCTTGCAAAACAATAGTATCGTTATTGCAAAAATATCAATTTAGATTTATAAGTGCTTTGTGCATATTGTACGAGCAAGGGAAGCCAAGAGATAATCAAAATTAACACACATACACATACAACTAAAAGAATATTACACAACACTCTTAGTGTCATGCCGTCAAATTGAAGCATGATTTACAGTTTTTCTGGGAGAATCTTACCGCAAAATAAGGTGTGTTTACTTAACAGGTTAAGATGTGCCTATCATTGAATTATGATTATAAAATTATTCCATCGGAAATCAAGCTCAATAATCACCTAACAAACAATATTATGACCTAAAACAAGCCCGTATTTTTAACCCCTCGTGTTATCTACATACATTTCCTTCAATTTTTATTTAGTAACCGAGGTCAATCAGCATGCTAAACAGGTTTCTGAACTTGATTAAAGTTCCTTAAGGTTAACTAGAGACACATCGAATGATTGGTGAGAATGAGAGAAATAACAAATTCATATAAAAACTAACCCCGTTGTCCATAAAACGGAAAAAAAGATCTTCAACAGAATCTGGTTACAGAATACAGATTATCCATATTATATCTAATTCACTTTCCCCACGCACTGCTATTTTTTTCTTGATTACGTTGTGTTTCTATTTTTGAAAACTGTGTATATCATACATATTGCATACTACATAACCTTTTCTGCCCCTAAATATACCTCAATTTTTTTTACTGTCATATATAAGATCGTTAGGCCACCCTTCTCCTTTTTCAGCGTTTTCTTTCCCTCCTTTTATATAATCTCCTACGTATTCTTCCCAATTACTTGTTCTGTTGTCTCTTTGTATTTAAAAGCTTTATCTACTATCTCATATCATGACAAGAAATTCTATATCAGGCATTCACAAGCTACCCAAGATTGCATTCGAAACTCAAGACTCCAGAATATCATCCGACGGTGGGAGCACAATTATATCGTCCAGTCAAATAACAGATTTTGGTGCAATAAATACACAGCCAACAAGATGTAAGAGATTAATAATCTATCTATAGATGTGATAGCCAACGTTGTTTGTTTCTTTTTTTTTTGTCAGTGGATAGGTTGTTAAGAACAAGTATACCAGACTCAGGCTATTTGTCAGACAAGAAGACCGAAGATGGAAGTTATAATCCAGAGGTCGAAGAAATTACTTTAAATGAAGAGGAAGAGGAAGATCCTTATCGATGGGTAATATTATTCAGCGGGTTCCTGGCTCAGGCTATAAGCATGTGTACATTATCAAGTTGGTAAGCATCAAATGTCTTGACAATAATAGTTCCAAGCTAACCTAAATTTTGTTGATGTAGGGGTAAGACAACATTCTTATACATATTTTTTGGGAAATGGCTAGCGACATTGGACTTGTACACAAAGAGGGTCGGAGAGACAGAGAGAGAGAGAGAATAAAAAGATAACAAATACTGATACAATTTCTTCTTTTAAAGGTGTCATGCAAGATTATTTTGATCGAGAAGTGTTTAAGGGAGCCGTGGATTCAACACAACTTAGCTTTGTAGGCACTATTGGCTTTGCGTTCTGTGGTTTAATGGGACCTATCACCCCATTTTTTATGTCGCTTGTTGGAGCACGTTGGGTCCTTTTCTTTGGCACGGTGTTAATATCTGCTGGTCTCATATTAGCAAGTTTTTCAACGCAAGTTTGGCAGCTGTATATTACCCAAAGTGTCATGCACGGCATGGGGGCGGCACTGTTGTATATTGTAATTATTTGGGTCACGGTATATTTTGTTTACACTGAGCTAACCAAAATCGTACCAGGTTTCAATGTCTATATCACCACAATGGTTTGTTAAAAGAAGAGGCTTTGCTATGGGCATCATGGTGAGCGGATCAGGAATCGGTGGATTAATCATGCCATTTGTCATGACGCACTTAAACGAATCTCTGGGTGGTGCTTGGTGTTATCGTATACTCGGTATTGCTACCTTTGTTGTTAGCATGCTATCTACTCTTCTACTCCGTGAGAAGCCGGGCGTCCCGAAAGCAAAAAAGACACAGCTAAGCGAAATTATTGATTTGAGTATATGTAAGGACAGTAAATTTGTGATCTGGTGCATTGCAGGAAATTTGAGCATGATGTCATACTTTATTCCTGCTTTTTATCTTCCATCTCACGCAACCAAAATTGGTTTATTGCCATCCCAAGGGTCGATTCTCGTTGCTGTATTTTCTGCTGTAAATGTTCTTGGCCGCATTGTATCAGGGTAATATATATCTCTACAAAGCGTACCTTGCATGAAATTAACTAATTTTTATGTCATGCAGATATTTGGGAGATCATATGGGCGTTGTCAATGTGGATATAATATTTCTTTTTATCTGTGGTCTAAGTTCACTTTTTATATGGACTTTTGCAAATTCATTTGTAACACTTTTAATATTTATTGTGATTTATGGATTTATGAGCGGCGCAGTCTTTTCCTTACGTAAAGTATTTGATACTCTCATCTGACGTTTATTTATGAAGACGATAATCGAATATTCATTATTTTTTCTATTTTTAGTGGCACCGATTACTGCAGCTATTACAGGGATGGAAAAATATCCATCCGGAATCTGTCTATATCTGTTTTTTATGACGGCTGCAAGATTTGGCCCATCTTTTGCTGGTGCGATTCAAACTGCAACAGATAAACACTCATTCTTTTCGCAACAAATGGTGACTGGATTAGCGTTTATCTTATCCGCGTTTGTCACTGTCTTTTTAAAGTACAAGATGCAACCAAAAATGTTTGCAAAAATATAGTCGTCTTGTGTATATGTTGTATAATAAAATAATAAATTAAAATTGAATTCTATATACTTCTGTTTATCATTTAAAAATTACCTGCTAATAGGTGCTAATTCGATAAAATATACGACCTTAGTGATTCTACGCCTTGACAGGAAAAAGCAAAAACCCGTCTAGACAAGAGCTTTTTTCAGTCCTTCATATCAATAAAAAATGACATCCGAGTTAATGTGCGAATTATAGAAATAAAAGAGATTGCTACATTTTATGCAGAAAATTTAAGATACATTAAGGTATTAGCAAAACTTAAATTATGTGACACTATGTACGTTTGTATAAAAATTGCCAAATATATATATACTGTCTTTATTTACTGGCATGTTTTACCGCTTGGGTATTTAATGTTTGTTTGTTTTAAACATTCGATCTACATTACGTCAAATACCAATGAATAGAGTGTCGCATAAACAATTGAATGATAGAGGATACAGCCAATAAAATCATACTTGTTAGATCAGGGCATACTTATGGACCGCCTTCTGTTGACAAAGGTTCCACTTAATATTTTGTCAACATTCAAGCATATTCTTGAAAAGTATGAATTTATTATTATTGCAAAGAATCAGCAGTCAACATTTGCACTGGGTTTGCTGTGTGTGTGTAAAGGCTCGACTGCCTGTAGTGGTAGATTAAGATCTCAGTACTGCATCAATCAATGTAGCATGTGTTTGAAAAAAAAAAGTGTTCTGGGCGTAAAACATTAGATACACAATGTTCATGAATGGATAAATTATACAGACTTCCATTTACGGGTATACGGCTTGTATTTTTCAATAAAATTAAGCCAAAGAGGTGGACTGTTTCCAATGACAAAGCATGTAAAGGCTACCCTCAAAACAAGCATTTGACTTTTATTTTACCACTGAGTGGGTTTAAAGTACATTTGTAAACGAGTAGCAAAAATGAAATCGCATATTGACTTCTCTTGGTTTCTATATCCAATAAGGTAGCTTCCACTTTAACATATTAACATTTCAACCCGATTCTCAAAAAGGAAATCTTAATTCACAAAACAGTAAAAAGCAGACAGTTAAGCGTGTTGGCATTTTAGAAATACGTCAGCTGAATATTCTTATTTGTTGTACAAATGGATATAAATTGCTAAAATCATTTTTGGAACAAAAACCGTCCGAACGGTCTTGGTGTGAAGGCCTATTATTATTTATTTTCCAAAACACGCTTAAAACATCGCCTTTTTTAGGTTTTTATGTAACCATCACCTTCCTCATTTGAAAAAAATCCTCGAAAAAATAAAAAAGTGAGAGGTATTTTTTTAATATTTTTTTCGTGCCTCTTTTTTGCCTGACGAAAAATACGATTATTTTACCTGCTATATATTTTTTAAAAAATAGGGTTGTCTCTTAAAAATATTTTATTTTGATTTTTAAAGATTGATGAATGGTTTTTTGAACACAACGCCTAAAAGAGGTAATCACAGCCAAAAAATCAAAAAAAAATAATGATTGGTCAGATTTTTATGACTACACACCAACTGAGTCTCCTCAACTTATATAGTAAGGTGCCCTCATCTGAATGTAAACTTTATTTTTAAAATCTTTCGTCCAATAAAATAGCCAGCCCACCAAATCTTCTTAGCTCAATTTGTAGATAGTCTCTTCTGGGAAACAATTATGCTTTTAAAATCATTTCATCCAATGAAATAACGAAAAAAAAAAAAAAAAAAAAAAAAAACTTCTAAGTAAAAATTAACATGGCGAAATTAACATGTACATGAACATGATTTTTTATTAAGACAAATTTTATAAATTTTTAACTTTATGAGACAATGCCCACCAGAAGGTGCCAAACTTGCTGGTGTTGATTAAGTTGAAACGAGGGTTCATCTTTCTTGAAAAATCAAGCATCTCCACGAACTGACACTCTGTTTCTCTGTATGTCGACTTCGTCCGCAACAGCTTTTCAACAACAAGATTTCCTCCATTGTCTTTGTTACAAACGTAATAAACGCAGGAGTTTAAACCGTCGGACTGGCTTAGAAGTTCAAATCTTGTCACAGGTCCACGTTCACACCAAAGAGCGTATTCAACGATGGTGGGAGCACCAGTCAACGCATCGATTTTGACGACTTCACCGATAAAGAGGTTGTTTCCGTTTTGAAAAATTCCGGTTGAGCCAACTTTCATGGTCTTGTCATCATCGTCATTATCAACAAAGTCTCTAATAGTAGACTTGAAGGACACAGCAACCTCGAGGACTTTGTTTGAAGCTTTAACTGGATAATCCTGGCCTGCCACCAACCAAGAACCACCAGTCAATACATGTCGAGCCATCAACCTCTTTGCAAAAGCAACAGCGGCATCTCTTGAAGGATTATGTCTGTTGGTACGAAACAGACACTCTCGAATGAATTTATTAAATTGCTCACCCTTCTCAGTTTCATAAAAGATTGGGGATCCAAATCGATAAATATCATCAACAAGATGATGCATGATGTGCATTTTACTGGAGTTATAAACGGAGCCACCCCTTCTGTTAGGATACTTTCGCTTCATGTAAGCATCATGCTCCATCACCGAGACACGAAGATCATTGTAAGTGAACTCCACATACTTCAGGTACGAATCAGACTTATGCTTGATTTTGCTGATATAAGAAAGCGAAGCTAACTTGCCCAAATTTTCAAAGCAGGTCTTGATCAAGAGAACACCGTCATCACGTCGAATTTCACCAGAACAGATCAATTGATTCAACAGAATTGGTACTTGCTGAACGAGGATTTTGTAATCCCTACCTAAGAAAGATCCATGAAGACGCAATGATGAACGCAGCTTTCGGGTAAACCCTTTGCTAACGTAACCATGCAATCTTGTTTCGAGGATACTTTTCTCAGTTGGATTCAGATGGTCTTGCAACAATGTTTTTACCAAGGCTTTGCCGACACCAAGCATTATCGTATGAAGGAGCTCGATTGGACAATCCAACATCGTATCGAACGATTGAAGGTCTACCAGAGCCTGACCACCAACAAGTTTGTAACCAGTATCGACATTTACCAACAAAGTCTTGTCACCGCCAGAAGCCAAATATCGCGCGTACATATCTGCAACCACTTTTTCAGAGCGAGGGTCACAACGATAATCACTGCCATCAAGTCGAGCTGGGGTTTTTAATTCCCAAACACACTTTCGGCATGGCATCTTTGAAATGGCACCGCGACTAGAGGCAAGCTCCGAATGACGCGCATTATCAGCAGTGATAAATTGCAACGGAGCAACGACAACGACAGCCTCACCACCAGGCAAAAACATCTCCACACCTTTCTCCAACAACAAAAGATCTTCAACAATAGCAGGAAGCATTTGCATTGCTGACAGCAAATGATCTGTACAGATGAAGGCTGTATTCTCAAGTGCATGTCGTTCAGCAAGAGGCAAAGCGGCGGGTACCATAATCCAACTATCAAACTTGTTGTGTTTCTTGGTTCGATTTCCACTCATATCATCAGTAAAGAAATTCAGGGGAATAACCTTAACGGGCTTGAATTTACGAGCAGAAGAAGGAGAGGGGCGCTTCAAAGGATTTGGCATTTTCAATCTACTAATAATGGTACTAGAAGCTCTAAGGAGATTAGAGTCATCCAGCACATTACGTTCGAAATCCAATGACAAAGTTTCCGGGCGATCACACAAAATGCTTGAAATGAGATTCACTTCGACAGAAACTTTCCTGGGCATGTTGTGGAGGTATAACCTACCATCAACGGGAAGAACTTGGTAACCTTCAGCCATAACGATTGAATGATTCAAGGTATAAAACCTCTCCACAATCACAAAAGTTTGACCTGTTTTGATCAGATCACCAACCCAGATATCCTTTGGGATGTTGTTGATTATGACAGAGACCATTGGATGTTGAAACATCTTGTGGGTACGCCATTTGTTCGACTGGTAACTATCGACAAGCTCGCCCTCTGTATGATCAGGAAGTTTTGATAAATGATCAGTGACAGAAGGGTTTGCAACCAACAACTTCAAGACTTCGGAGGGAGGATTCATATAGAACGGGAGATCTTCTTCGACTTCTTGACCATTCACCTTTTTCTGAACCTTGACGTAGTGCTTCGTCTGTCTGAGCAAGGGAATCTGGTTTCTTGTTCTTCTTGAATCATCAAAGTTGAATATGAGATCAGCTGCAGGTACTTTGGCTTCGGGATAGGCAACCTTGGCTTCAGTGACGTCCTTGACAAGCTTCACAATATCTTTCATCAAACTTTGAGATATGTCACCCCCAGACCGATAATAGAATTGATACATCAATTGATGTATCTTATCCCTGAAAGGAAAAAACTCGCCGTTGACAACTATGGGTGTTTGATCCTCGATTTCGTCGACTACAGCTTCCGGTTCATCAACAATGGATTCAGTGAATTCAATGTCTTCATCAAAAGGTTCATCTTCGTCCTCGTCGTCTTCCTCGTCACTGTAATCTTGGCATTCAGATTCGTCCTCTTGATGAAACACCATACGATCCAGACTGATGCGAGTAGATCTAATCGACTCAGGTAATGCAGTAACTTCTGGTCCATTCACTCGCCTGAAGGCCGTGTTGCTTGGGGTAATGGGTGCCTTAAAAGTGAAGGCTTCGGTAATTTTATGTGATTTTTTATGACGTGTAAGGGCGCTTGGATGCCGGAAGCGCTTGCCACATTCATTGAAATCGCAACGATAGGGGTTTTCGGTTTCGTTGGTTTGTTCAGGTTGAGTATTCATAATTCAGGAAGTAAAAGAGATAGAGATATAGTTTTTTTTTTTTTTGACTTAGAGGTTTTTTATATGCAAAGGTTTAGACCAGAATTTTGAACTACAGCTATTTCCAGCAGGTTCTTTTTCTTTTAGCTTCTTTTTTTTCTTCATGTCTTTCTTTCCGTTTCTTTAACTTTTTAACTTGGTAAGTTATTTTCTCTTATTCCCTTTATAAACGCTAAAGCTATCTAT